GTTAGGGCATTGGGGGTAAAGCAAGGTCCATTGGGCTTTGTTTACGGGCTTAGTACTTTTCGATCCATCGATATCCGTTTTTTTTCTGAAGGTTTTTTTTTTCATCTTTTACATGCATAACGCTTACCATTTTTTAAATAAAAAAAATTGTTTTGCTATGCGTAATACGCGCCAAGTGCGAATATACTGATATTTCTAGTCGGACTATATATATATGTTTAAAATTTTATGTGTAACAAAGAAAATTTAGCGTTTATGCTGTTTATCCTTCGCATTATTATTGTTTTCTTTTGTTACACATAATAGGGCGGCAATATTCGATTGATGACAATGATTGCTAAGCTGAACGGAAACATCATTATAATTTTTATTAGCAAAAAATATTTAAATAAAGTAAATAGTTAACAATACTTAAATGCTAATGGTACAGATTAAAGGATGAGAAAAATAATTTGATAGGTCTACCGATCGAAAAAGAAAGAAGTAAAGCACTCTCGTGGGTCCTATCTCCTGTCTCCCTCACCTATCACTTAACCTGATATTCCGAAGACCATCTACTTAATTTGCATTTTACTTAGCTAGTTTAACTATAGTTTCATCTACATTTTACATTTGATTGGTCTGAAATAATCTCAGTAACTTTAACCAGTCCCGAAAAAACAAGCCAAGTAAAATAACGATTCATTCGAGGTTGATTATTTACAGAACACTAGATTTGCTGACAAAAAAAAATAAAGAATACAACTCTATAGCTTTTTAGTCTTTTTTACCCCTTGTTGATTTGATGCTACGTGTGTATCTGTATATATATTTATTCCCATCAAATAATTTACGCAAGAATATAATAAGATTATTTCTAATTAGTGTATCAATTTTTCTAAAGTTTTTCCCCACTATCATTGACATAGTTTCTCTATATTCCTCTTTTCTTCTTCTGCAAAGACCCACAAATACTAAAAAAGAAAAAAAAAACTTATGAATCATCTCTACTAGTCATGTAATGATCGTCATCGATCGAGAAATCAACAAGAGCCGATCGAAGTTATGGCTAGTCCTAGCAACAAAGGCAAAGGCATAGCAGAAGGATCGTCGTCTCAATCGCAGCCACAACCGCAATCACCTCCTAACCCACCAGCGTTAAGCCGGTACGAGTCACAGAAACGGAGAGATTGGAACACGTTTTGCCAATACCTGCGTAACCAGCAGCCACCGGTTCACATCTCACAGTGCGGCTCGAACAACATCTTAGATTTCCTCCAGTATCTTGACCAATTCGGAAAGACTAAGGTTCATATCCATGGATGCGTGTTTTTCGGACAAGTTGAGCCGGCGGGACAGTGTAACTGTCCTTTAAAACAAGCGTGGGGCAGTTTAGATGCTTTGATCGGACGGCTGAGAGCGGCTTACGAGGAGAACGGAGGTTTGCCGGAGAGAAACCCTTTTGCCGGCGGCGGAATTAGGGTTTTTCTTAGGGAAGTGAGAGATTCGCAGGCCAAGGCAAGAGGAGTTCCGTACAAGAAAAGGAAGAAGAAGAAGAAAAGGAATCCTATGAAGAAGAGTCATGATGTTGAAGATGGTACTACGGGGACTAGTAGCTCCAACTTGCCATCTTAGCAAGCCAACAAAAAAAAATTATATGTATAATAAAACAAAAGTGGGTTTAATTAATGGTAAGCATTTATTTCCTTTCTATAATCTCAATTCTCTAGTATAGTTTTCAGTTGATTAATCCTACATGTTTGTGCTCTATCTACAATTCTACATAGTGAAACAAAAATCTGCATTTCTAATAGATCTTTATAGTCAGCTCTTGTTGTAGACTTGAATCTAATACTTATTATAGGCAAAACTATACGATTAATCTAATCATATATATCATGTGTGTATCAAGAGATCCATAATATGATTTTTTTCTTAAAACTACATATATTAATTGTACGGTTTATAATATAGATATATGTTCATTTTGACACACTGTAAACCCTAGCTTGAGAGAAACACACACACACACACCATAAACCCTAATTGAGGCATTCGTAAGTGTTTACATGTACATTTATAATATTATATGAATGCGTCGTATACATATATACATTTGATTCACTATTCTGATTAATGAAAATAATTACATAAGATCTATAGACTTTATTACTTGGTACTTGGTCTTGGTACTTTTGTTTCTTGCTGCGGTATTTCTTGTTGGGTTTCGGGCGTCTGATATTGTACTCCTAAGTGTTTATGAATGATACCAGTGCCGTGCCTAGGTTTACAAGGGGTTAAGGCAAATATAAAAATTTAAACTTTTTAATATATTTTAGAAAAAAACTTAAAAATATTAAAAAGTTTTGAAATAAAAAAAAGAATAATCTAAAAGAACGAAAAGGTTTATCTTTTTTTTTTTCTTTCAAAAAGCTTTTTCACCAAATTCTTATAATCTGAGTTTTTAAATCTCTTTTAATAAATATGATCATATGATAGCTTTCTCATTTTTTAGATATAAATGTTAAAAATATATAAAAAAAGACTAGAAAAAGAGATACCATCAAAAATGAAAAAAAAAGCATGAAAACAGAAAAATCGTAATTTTTATGTTTTTACTCCTAAGGAAACTTAACCCTAACAGTAAATTAACAAATTATATAAGTTCAATAAACTTTTTAATAGAATTCCTTTTTAAATTTAGGATATGCCGGTTTAAGAACCTTTTTAATCAATTTCCTTTCTTGATTTAGAATTTGCTGGTTTTGGAATGTGTATATCTTTTTCTAAATTCTATAATCCAAAAAAACAATATATTAACAATGATATGATTCGAACTCAGGAGTTTTAGAACCATTGTTCACTCCAATGTCACTCTGATACACCACATTTTTTAAAATTACTGACACTAATCTTTTTATATAATTTGTTACCTGAGGCAAATGTCTTTTTCATTGTACATTAGGCACGGCTCTGAATGCTACAAAAATCTGAAATTTGTTTTTAATTTCTCTTCACTATAAATATCATGAACCAATTATGCGAATTTCTACGAGTGAATTAAATAAAATATATTAAAGATTGATTGGTGATAAATATATACATAAAGATTCACTTATATGCATATTTCATCCGTTTGATAACCACGCTGCACTGACGTTCCAAATCATCTCCTGAATTAGAATGTACACTAGACTGTTACGTATATATATAACTTTTGATTTTAATAGGTATAAACAGAATATCATCATGATGTTTAACAAAACCAAATGTTTGACTGCTTTTATCGTTTCACAGATGATGTTGATTGATGCTACATTACTCTTACGCATACACATAGATATACGGACTGTCGCCGATACTAAACTAAGTGCTAAACAAAGTTTAAGCTCGAGAGAGAGCCGAGACATTATGTGAAGACTAACGCATCATCTAGATTAAAATTTTCTATTTTTCTCGGTATGACTGCCAAATCAAGTACACAAGTAACGAATTTATCGATAGTTGGTCTATAAGTCATGCATGTATTCTATGCTTTTACCAGAAACTATTAAAGAACGAAAGCCCGTTAAGCATGTGTATAATTAATTGTTTTGACTGAGCTACTGGCCAATGTTTCAGTATGAAGTGGTATTGAAATAAGCAACTACAAAAAAAAAACATCGAGGATTTATAGATATACTGTATCATTGTCATTTTCCTCGCAATGTTATGTCAAAAGTACCGACAAAAAATTACAATAAAAAATATCTCCGATGTCCGCCCGTGACAATAAAACTTTTGAAACCCTTGACTGCTTCAACAACCCTTTTCAACACGTTTAGGAAGTAAGCAACGTAACTAAGCCACAAAGCTATATGTATGTTTATGTACGCAGGTGAGTTTAATTTGCATGACACACGAGGACATCCGGTAAAATGGAAAAATGAAACCAAATGTATATTACTATTTTTGCTTGTTGAAACTGAAATGATTAGTTTTGATATCATTACTATATATTCTGAACCCATTTTGGACTATGATGAAGATCTCGTCTTACCTCTTGACACCAACTACATATTGTTCCCAGGAGTTATTGAAAACAGGGGCACAGTGTTAATCAATAAGATAACAGAGGAAGAGATCCAAGATGATGGTGAGCACTTAGATCGAGCAGCTACCTGGTAAAGCTCCTGGGCTGTTGCTTAGAGACCAAGGTACCAAGGCTTGTCTTTGAATGCGTACCAGAGAACCTCTCTGCCTACTTGCAGGGAGAGAAAGTGACTCTGCCATGGAGATATCGGGTTCGTATCGCTGCTCAGGTCGCGGCTGCGATTGTTTATCGCCATGTCGGGAAATCGAGACCTCTGATTCACAGACACGTGAAGACAAGTAACATTTTATTGGACGATAGCTTTAACGCCACGCTATTTGATTTCGGACTGTCCCTAGAACTTCCATTAGGCGAGACCTGTGTAGAAGCACTGGTTGAAGGAACCATATGGTTCATAGCTCCAGAATCAGTAGAGACAGGCAAATTCAACGAGAAGACAGATGTTTTTGCATTTGGTGTAAAATAGACATATGTCCAAAATTTCAGACCATGTAAAATAGACATATTTCCAACTTCCAATCTTTTGACCTATCTTTGATCTTCTCTTGAAAAACCTCCATTGATTTTCATCTCAATGTTCTCCAGGGTTAAAAGTTTTGGGATTCATCCCTTTGTTGATCAACAACAGTAAAATGGGTGAAATTATCACAAAGGTAAAGTTCAGGGTTTAACTTGATAAAAACAGAGACGTGGGGTGTAAATAATTAGAAAGTCAAAGTGTAAGGTTTTAACTTGTTAAAAAACAGAGATAGAGGATGAATATATAATTATATACAAAGTAAAAGTTTTAGGCGTTAAACTGCAGTAATTGGTAATTTGTTAAGAGAAAAGGGACCTGATCAATGAAAAGCAAACTATGTCAAAAACGGAACTGAAAATTCTGTAGCGCCGGAAAAGCTCGTCTTGTAGGGGAAAGCGGAAGCAAAGTATGAATCTTTACGACGATGAGTCTATGAAGCAGGAGGTAATCTACCTTCACTCGCTCTGGCACCAAGGTCCTCCGACCCGGAATCCAATCCCCAGCCATAATTTCAACCCGTTTCTCGACCGGGTTCAGAGATCCAGGCCGAATTACATCCCGCCGGCGGATTTGCAGCTTCTCTCTCGCTACGGAGCCGCTGGTCCGCAGATCATACCTAGAAACCCTATTCTTCCTCAAAATCTCCACAGTAATAAGCGCCCGAGGCCTGACTCGGATCGTGAATGGCCCGTGAAGGAGCTGCTACGTTCTTCTCCTATGGGATCTGGATGGCCTGAATCCAAGCCGTGTAAGAAGGCCCGAACTATTTCGGAGGAGGAGAAAGCGAAAATCGCTGTAAACCAGCTTCAGAGAGATATCCATCGAACCTGTCGCGAGTTCTTCGGCAAAACATCCGGCGACGAGGACAGCTCCGTCGCGGGAGGAGATGAATCGGATACTGATGACGGAGACGAGGATCAGTCTTCGGGGAAAGAAGGATCCTTTTCTTCCAAGGAGTTTCAGTTTTTGTCGCGATTGTTCGAAGAGAACGAGAAGCTGAAGGAGTACTATGAGAAGAACACGGCGAATGGAGAATTCTGGTGTCTGGTTTGCGGCGGAACTGGAGAGAAGAGTTGTCGGAAATTCAAGAGCTGTTTGGCTTTGGTTCAGCATTCACTTTCCATCAGCAAAACGGATTTGAAAAATCAGCATAGAGCTCTCGCACAAGTTCTCTGCAATGTTCTTGGCTGGGACGTTAACAATCCAGTTGCTTCGAGCCAAAAGGACGCTCAGGTCAGGTTTATTCTATGGATACCTTGAAAGAAGTTAGCTTTGCAAGTGTTTCATTGGTTTGATTGTGTGAATCCAATTGAGAACTGGGACATAGCGTGATTATTATCAGGTTACTATGATCAAGGACTGGGTTAACACTTGTTGTGAGTAATAGTTTTTATCTGACTTATTGATGAAAGATGAGTTTGCTGGAACATTATGGTCTTTGGTAGCTTTTGAATAGTTTTGATCATTCCGAAAAACTTTTTCTTTTTTCTTCACAGGTAATGGGGGTAGAGGAAGGTGCAACTGAGCCGCATTCAGACCAAAAGAATCCTCAGGAGAAACAGCATGTCATGTCGGCTGATGAACAAGCAAAAGCTGCAGTGTTACAAATGCAACAGAATGCGTCAGAGGCTTTGAAAGGCATTTTTGCCAAGGATGAAACTGAGGAGAATGGTGATGACGAGACTTTTTCTAAGGAGTTGGAGTTAATATCTCGACTCTTCTCAGAGAACGTTGAGCTCAAAAGCTACTACGAGAAAAACTGTGAAGGCGGAGTCTTTGTCTGTCTCGTGTGCTGTGCTGCGACTGATAAAAAGATGATAAAGAGGTTCAAACACTGTCATGGACTTGTTCTGCATTCCACTAAAAGGCCTAAAATGAATGAACGAGCTCACAAGGCTTTTGCTCGGTTTATCTGTGGACTACTTGGCTGGGAGCTTGATCGTCTTCCAAGTAGAGTAGTGAATGGTGGTGCTCCACTTGTCGAATCTAATGCTAACCAGAAAATTGAGAAGCCATCATCGATGATCGAGGTGAGAATTTTTACAAAGAGAGCAAGAAGTCTTTCTTAATTCTTATCGTTTTATTCATCAAGAGAATCGCTGTATCATTTCAGGAACATATGCGCGAAGACAGATCTGATAATCCACAGGGACAACAATGAGGCATGCGTTGGTTAATAGATGGTATGCATACATCGTACTTGATCACACCTAATCACATCTTTTTACATAGATTTGTTTTGCTTTCAGACATTTATCTATTGGTTATGTTTTTCATCAGTGAACCATTGTTTATGTTTTCTATGCGCAGGATGCTAAGCATAATCAGTAGCATATTGTTTTCTTCTGTGAATTCAATTTAAGAAGTCAAGATAAACAAAGTTATGTAAATGGAGGCACTGGAATCTTCAGGTACGATTACTAGTCTTCGACATTTCATCAGTTTTCTTAATTATGACTTGCAAGACTTGATGTAGAGTCATCAAAGACAATGTGTACACCCTGCTCTTGATTCTGAATTTTCATAATTTAAGTATACTCTCTTCTTTTCTCACTGAGAAATTTGGAGTATTCTTACCAAGTTTTCAAGATTAATTTTTATGTTAAAAGAGAAAATGTTGCTAGACATTGATTAAAATCATTAACTTATATAAACACTAATATCTGGGACTGTCTCCAAAACACCAAAGATCTGGGGCAGACTCGCAAATACCATTACAAATGTGAACAATTTTGTCAATACCAAAAGCTATGGGATATTTTAATACATATCAAAAGATTTGGGGCAGTTTTGTAAATATTGAAATATATAGGTTGGTTTTATAAACGATAAAATACCAAAAAATCTGGGCCTGCTGTCAAAATCCAAAAGATACGGGTGTATTTTAAAGTTACAAAAGATATGTGACACTTTTTGAAAAACCAAAAAAGTGTGGGCGTTTTGGAAATAGGAAGGGATATGGAGCGTTTATTGGAATTAACACAAAGAGATGAGGTGGTATTGAAAATATCTAAATCTCGTGGGCGTATTTGTTAATACCAAAATATATGGTGCAATTTTGAAGTTATCGACAGATCTAAGGTGTTTAGAAAATTCTAAAAAATCTGGGGAGCTGTTTTGGAAATATGTAAAGAAAATAATATAGCTGAAATTAATCGCTCGCTAATTAAAAAGTTAATTGCCTGTTGGGCTTTTCTGGGCGGAGTAGATGAGCCTGGGCCATACCTCATGATACCCAAATTTTGATGAATTTGTTTTTCACCATTTTAATCAATTTGGTCAATTATATTTTTACACCTCTAATTTCCAGGAAAACGCAAACAGAAAAACAGTCCGTGAGTCTGCAAAGTCAGATCAAAATGGGGAGAAAAGAAGATTCAAAGATGAACATCGCCATTATACATCCCGATCTTGGAATAGGTACGTTCTTCATCAGGCGTTCGCTTTTTATTATCCGGATGAAACCTTCTTCCGCTCTTATTATTGGTCCTTCTCCTGGGATCTATCTTACTTCCGAGAGCATATGATCAAATTCACCGAATCAACGCATTTGAGAGATCCAGAGCGAGTTTACACTATTGCGTTGAAATTGACCCTTTTCTCCGTGTATTTTGTTTTTTTCTGGTATATGCAGGTGGAGCAGAGAGATTGATCGTCGATGCGGCGGTTGAGCTTGCGTCGCAGGGTCATAAAGTTCATGTCTTCACCTCTCACCACGACAAATCCAGATGCTTCGAGGAAACTCTCTCCGGTGAGTGACGGTATAGCTTGAGTCATATACACTAGAGAGTGGAAGCTTTTCTATATAAATTCTCCTGCTCGAATGAGAAAATGTTTGCATTTGAAAGAACTATTCACATAGGCCTTAAGATTCCTGACTCTCAGTTTCCCATTCGTTTCTAAATTTGGGGGTTTCCCCATTTGATTTTAGGATATTCTTCAAATTTACGAAGCATTTATATAATCTCGGTACAGGTATCTTTCAAGTCACGGTGTACGGCTCTTTCCTGCCACGGCATATTTTCTACCGTCTACACGCAGTGTGTGCATATCTGAGGTGCTTGTTTGTTGCTCTCTGTGTTCTTTTGGGATGGTCTCCGTTCGATGTTATACTAGCAGATCAGGTTTCAGTTGTAGTCCCGTTGCTGAAACTCAAAAGGTTATCAAAGGTATTCAAACTTCGCTTTAGCTCATCATACACTATATGGTGATCAGTTTATATATAGTAATAGCTTAACCTGGAACGTATTTGGATCTAGGTTGTTTTCTACTGCCATTTCCCGGATCTCCTGCTAGCTAAGCATACAACTGCACTTAGGAGGATGTATCGGAAACCCATTGACTTTATCGAAGAACAAACCACAGGTTTGGTTTCATTCGTTATTAATAATCAAGTATTTGCTATCTGTTGTTCCACCTCTGTTTTCATTTCCTCTTATGTCCATCCATCTTGAACAATTTGTTCTTATATCATTTGCAGGAATGGCTGATATGATCCTTGTTAACAGCAACTTCACAGCGTCAACATTCGCAAAGACATTTGAGCGTCTTCATGCACGAGGAAGTCGCCCTGCTGTTCTTTACCCCGCGGTCAATATCGCTCAGTTCAATGAACCCCATGCTTATAAGTATTGTATATCCCTAAACACCAAATTTCCAGGATAGAAAATTAAGCCCCCCCACATTGCAAAGTACTTGTATGCCGCTTCCTATAAGTTATTTCTCTTCTTCTTTGTCTTGACCAGGTTGAATTTCCTCTCCATAAACCGCTTTGAAAGGAAAAAGAACATCGATCTAGCTGTTTCAGCTTTTGCTATTCTATGCAAACATAAGCAGAATCTGAGCGATGTTACCCTTACCATTGCAGGCAAGTGTACTATTATTCCTTTTTCTCCCCCATAATCTAATATTGAGTGAAGATTTACTGTTTGCATTCTAAAAAAACTCCATTTTTTCAGGCGGATATGACGAACGGTTGAAAGAGAATGTAGAGTACTTGGAGGAGCTCAAAAGCTTAGCCGAGAAAGAAGGAGTTTCTGATCGAGTAAACTTCATCACATCTTGTTCAACCGGTGAAAGAAATGAACTTCTCTCAAGCTGCTTGTGCGTCCTCTACACACCAACGGTAAAGTCACCATCTTTTACCTCTTCCTCCAAGCGTCTCACTCTCATCTCATTCTCATGGTCCATGTCAAATGCTAGGATGAACATTTCGGTATCGTTCCATTAGAAGCAATGGCTGCGTACAAACCCGTGATAGCCTGCAACAGCGGTGGCCCCGTGGAGACGGTAAAAAGTGGAGTAACAGGCTATCTCTGTGAACCGACTCCAGAAGATTTCAGTACGGCAATGGCTAGGTACATCGAGAATCCTGAGTTAGCGAATAGTATGGGAACTGAAGCCAGGAAACATGTTGTTGAATCGTTCTCCGTGAAGACGTTTGGACAGAAGTTGAATCAGTATCTCGTTGATGTAGTATCAAGCCCTAAAGAAGATTGAGATTCCTCTGTTTAGCAATCATAAATCTTTCGTTATACAGCACACACTTTAGCTTAGGTTTGAAATGACAGGAGCTTCTAATGTTGGATCAATCATCTTGAACTTTTACGGTTGGTTGAAATTAAGGTTGGCCAGTTTTTGCTTTGCTTCGGTTTGGTTGAGTTTTATAGTTTTGAGGATGAACTTAGCGAAATAAATATTTGAAAATTTTAGGTAATGCCCTCCTGACAATTTTTCTTTTTTAATCCCGAATTCAAATTGTAAATTTATTGGGATATTTATTACACAATTTTAATCGGATCGAAATGGACTCTTATCTGATATGGGCTAGGTCAATAAAATTCGGTGAGTAAATAATTGTCTGGATCTTATTGGACTGTAAAGAGAAAAGGCACGAACTCTTTCATATGATATGCAACAACTCCGAGTTGTATATAGCCTTTGCTTGCATGAAAAACTGGACCAAGAGAAGGGACCAAAGTAAATACATTAGTAGCACAAAAGTTAAGTCATATAATTTGAAGACACCAGACAGCAAAATGTAGCTTGTTACCTGGTCCGCAAGCTTGTAGCTGTGTGTTCGCATATACTCCATTCCAATGTACAGTGTTGGCAAATGACACATGGAACAAGATAATATCAAAGACAGTTTGTGATGTAATAAGAAAATTTCCACTATGCAGCTTTAGTAGGATCGAATTGGGCTGAGTCAATAAAATTCGGTGGGTAAGAACTTGTCTGGATCTTATTGGGCCGGGATTACTTCAACCTATAGGTCATATTTGTGTCACTGAAACGTCGTCGTTTATAGTTTAGTTTTATTTTGTTAAAACTCTGCCTCGAGTTTTCTTCTTCGTCTTTCCGAATTCCAATTATCTTCCCTCCAATCCTCCTCCATCGGAGTTCCCTGTCGTCGTTGTTCCACGCCGCCTCACCGAAAATCACTGTCTTCGTTGTATCAACATCTTAAGGTATATATGCGATATTTCAATTTGAGAATCGTTTTTTTCTCGGCTGTCTACGATTTTGTTTCCTGATTTTGGATGTATTGGTATTGATTTCCATGATTCTAGCTGTTAGGAAAAAAATTATCATCTCCGTTTTGGTTTTTTTTTTTGTAGCAGGAAGCTTCCCTAATGGACGCGAACAATACATTCGATTCTGTAATCTCTGCTCGCGTCTTCCTTTCTCCCTTCCCCGTTTCTTTGTCTGCGTTGAGTGATTCTGATTTTCGTAGCTTGGATTTTCATGGAATTAGGATCTGATTCACGCCATTTTCAAGCACATTTGGGCCCGAAGATTTCGCGGTACCCATTTCTGTCTTGTCAAGTAACTTATCCGCTTATGTTGATTTCTATGTGTTTAGATTCTCTGCGATTCTGATTTAGTTTACCGATTGCGATGCAGAAAGGGAGAGGAGTGATGCCATTGATGCTGCGGAAGCTGAGGTACTACTCTATTAGAATCGTAGGTTTCATGTCACAAATTTGGAATTCTCCTTTAGTGCCGTAATAATTCCTTCTCTTGAGGTTGATCCTGTAGCAGCTTTTGATCTTCTGATTTCTGAGATTCGATGTGTTGAAAAAGTGATGAAGATTCCATTTGTGATGATGCTAAATGATTCATCCCATTTACTGCAGGTTGCCCTGGGAACATCCAAGAAGAATAGACTTGCTTCTGGTTTGTCTATCAATTGTCGCTCACTTTTTCTCCTGTAGATTGGGAGATGAAATTATGCCTTTGTGCGACATTCCATGAGTACTTAAAGTTTATTCTTTTCTTTTTGGTAGCCAACGCAAATGCCCTGAAACTCAGCTGTGAACTTCTCAAGCGTTTTGTTTCAGGTTCATATGTATATCCATGTTTGGGTTTTGGAAACTAGTCGAGTTTCTCCTTTCACTCATGCTGTAACTAAAGGATTTTTTTTTAATGGCATTGGCAGAGGCTGTGCAGCGTGCTGCTATAATTGCTGAAGCCGAGGGAATGGACAAGATTGAAGCTACTCATTTAGAGAGGATCCTCCCACAGCTTCTTTTAGACTTTTAAGGTATGACTCAGAGCAATTTGACTGTTAATATCTCAAGGTTGACTCAGAGCAACTAGTTTATCTCTGTTTTTTCTTTCGCATGGGTTGATGTGGTTATGTACATGGTTCAATGAAAAGAGAGTGAGCGAAGTATTTGTATTTGAATTGGTCCTGTAGGTGAACTGATGGAAGTATTGTGTTTTCTTCATTAACTGATCAGTGTAAAGATAGTCCTTTGATTTATAGTTATAGTCAAAACTTTGGTACATGTTCTTAAACTGGAGACACATAACAATCGATTGAAGATGATCCTTTGGACTACTACAATTCGTCCATGAGCAGCAATGTCAGACGCAGTTAGCTGATGTTCTGGTTAAATACCTTTTTAACCAGACCGTCACTAACTTGGAGCTTACTTTTAACTTCACATTGGGTTGCGATGACGGCTAATAAGTTTTTACGACCAAACCTTGACATCTGTCTTTTCCTGACATCATCGTCTTAGCTTAGAAGGATACCTCGACACTTACTAGATATAGTATCCTCTTATCTAGTTATCTTATGATATCTATGCAAACTCACAAAAATGGCTTCTTCTGTGGATGCTATAGAGGGTGGCCTTTCGTCTCTGAGATTGGCGGCCGATAAGTACCGATCGATCTTGAACGAGGAAAAAACGGGAAATATACGGTGGAGATATGGTGGTCCTCCGATATTTGACACTGTGAACAAGCTCTTCGAAGAAGAAAGAACCCATGTAATTTACAACCAACTCTATTTCTTGTCTTTCTATTTCATAAAGTTGTGGCCTTTTTCATGTCGATGATACTAATAAAACTATGTAGTATCAAATGGTTCACTGGTTTCCGCAATAATTTAAAGAAAAAATCAGGAATAGTTAATGAGAGACCATGCAATATCTGACGTGACTGAGAGCAAACATATACTTAGAAAAAAATACAAGACTTTCTCGTAATTTTCCTTGATCTAAGCTATTTATCTCCTAGTCTTTCAAACATGTCATTATTGCAGAATATTCAGTGGATAAAAATAGAAGTGTATTTGGACAGACAAATAAGTAATCGAGGGTTATTGGTTGCAACTTACTCCTGATAATATTTAGAAATGTGATTGTGACTCTTAACAACTTCAAAATGTCAAATTGATGGGGAAAGGAAACGGGATTCATGAGTAATCCACTAGAGACTGTTCTAATTAATATTATCAACATGTAATGTGAGACTATAAAAGAGACAAACAAGCATAACTCTCTCTACATCAAAAGCTAATATGGCAACTAGAGAAGAGAGAGATAAGTACAGATCTGTCCTTGAAGATGCAGGACAGGTCCAATGGAGGTATGGTAAGCCTCCAGCCTTCCATACTGTGAACCAGCTCTTTGAAGAAGGCCAGACCAAGGTCCTTCGGATAACTAATGTTTCATTTATGTATGTGCTAAGTTTATAATCTGCGAATCTGATTGTAGTTGTTTGTGTTTGGTTTTGATCGCAGGTATGGCCAGAAGGGTCGTTGGAAGAGACAGTTCAAAACGCGATCAAGTCATGGGAGATGGAGTTCTCACACAAGATCCGTTTACAAGACTTCAAGACTATAAACCCTGACAAGTTTAAGCTCTTTGTCAATGGTAATATTTACCACAAACACCTAATCGGTATGATCAATTACCAAACAAATAATTTAAGTGGTTTTTTTAATTTATTAGGGAGAGAAGGATTAACGGCTGAAGAAACGCTTAAGCTTGGGAGTTACAACGCTTTGCTCAAGAACTCTTTGCCTGAGGAGTTTCAGTACTATAAGCCAGAGGAAGAGAGCTTCGAATCATCACATGACGCCTTTAGATCTGCTTTACCACGTGGTTTTGCGTGGGAAATACTCTCTGTGTACTCGGGGCCGCCTGTAATAGCATTCAAGTTTAGACACTGGGGATACTTTGAAGGCAATTTCAAAGGTCATGCTCCTACTGGGGAAATGGTTCAATTCCTCGGCCTGGGAGTTCTAAAGGTATGTCTGAAACATGAAAGTGTATGCCTCCTTATAATCTTACAGGGGTTAAAACCTCTAGCATCAGGATTTGCTTACATCTAGAGGTTCTCTACAGGTCGATGAATTGCTTAGAGTAGAGGAGATTGAGATTTACTATGATCCAGGAGAGCTGTTCGGGGGACTGCTCAAGGGGCCTCCATTATCAGAGACCAAAACCACAGACAGTGGAGACAATACTGCGGAGAAACAAAGCTGCCCCTTCATACATTAAGAAAACTTCAGGATCTACGAATGCTTATCTTCCGTATAGCAGTGGCCATTGGGTTATACAGGAAAATAAGGAATGTGTGGACACTTTATAGAATATATTGTGACAGTCACTTGGTTTTTCATGCATGGAATAATATATAAGTTATGTTTGCAAGCGTCAAAATGATAGTACAGATAAATTACGGCAATAACTTGATTAAGGGAGTTAATTTAACTGACCAGTTTCTCAGAGCTCAACCTTTGAATCAACCCCGTTCTGACAATCATCCACGAGAGCCAAGTTCAACATTTCAGTACAGAATTGGTCATCAGGTTTCAACCATAGGGCCTAGAGATAGAGAAAAGAAACAGAGAGGATGATTGAGAATAAATGAAGAACGTTTAGCTCATCGTCTGATAGAGACGAAAAGTGTCCACATGCTAGCTATCAAGGACATCATTAGAAGTTTGCTCTTATATTGTAGTGTATATACCTTGTGATAATATGAGATGGCAGCTGAGAAATTCCCCTGGACAAGAATGATATGAAAACGGAAAAATTCAACCTTTTTTTATTTTTTGATAATCACCGTTAGTATTGTTTAGAAGAAACTGACTGGTGTTTAAAGAACATTCAAATACCTGTAAATGGTAAGTGTAAGCCAAGCCAGAATAAGTGCTTAAGCTTTTAGTTGATAATGTAAGTGCTCTTTCATAATACGAGATAGCTTCACGGTCCTTCCTGTTAATAAGAATTTTCGCAAGTCAATCACTTACAACACGAGACTGCCTAGTGCCTGCATAAGAGGAAGTTCATGGTAATTTTGTGTTCACCAACATACAATATACCTTAGCTTCCGATATGCATGAGCGAGATTGACCACAGTTGGTTCCCAGCTTTCAGTTAATTCAGATGGTATATGAGCCAACGTCTTCTCAAACCACCGCACAGCCTTACCATACCTGAAATGTAGTGAATGTTGTTGACTCAGTTTACTGGATTGTTACCTTCTCCACATTTTATAATGTAGTTTTTCCTAAATAACATTTGAAAAAAATTTGGAGATAAGCCGGCTGTAAAGAGAAAAGGCACGCACTCTTTCATATGATATGCAACAACTCCGAGTTCATTATAAACAAGTGGATCTGAAGGGCATATCGCCTTTGCTTGCATGAAAAACTGGACCAAGAGAAGGGACCAAGGTAAGTACATTATTAGCACAAAATTTAAGTCATATTATTGAAAACAGCAGACAGCAAACTGTAAGTTGTTACCTGGTCCGCAAGCTTGTAGCTGTGAGTTCGCATGTACTCCATTCCAATGTACAGAGTTGGCAAATGACACCTGCAACAAGATAATATCAAGATTCAACCTGTAAAAGACAATTCGTAATGTAATAAGAAGACTTCCTAAGCCTCAGGGCTGAGAACGATTCATTGTGGACATTACAAACTTACAGTCACTAATTTTGAAGAAAAGAAGAGTGACTTGATTACCCTGGAAATAGCCTAGCGGCGGTGCGATAGGCAGACATGGCTTGGTCACCCTCCTCTTGGGCGGCAAAGGAATTTCCAAAGCCTATCCAAGCTGGTGAGAACGAGCCATCTATATTCGTAGCTTTGCTGCAAGACCATATTAGAAGAAATGGAGCTCCAGGTCAGACACATGCCATTGCACCTACCTACTAGAGTTGATCAAGCCTGCATAATGCCATATCATAATTACCTAAAGTACCGCCGAGCTTCAGCATACTTTTTGATACAATAGTAGTAACAACCCACCGCAAACCATGACAAAGCCCTACAAGGTCATGAATGAGTATTTACACCAGAAGCATCAAGCATAGGAACCCTGCTTACGTACTGACGAAGATAAATTTAGCTCAAACACCAAAATGTGGAAAAAAAATCAACCAAGTCCAGAAAACATTTTCAACCAAAAATTCAACATAAGAAATCATGCTCTCAGAGTTCATTCAAGGCCTTGACAAGCAACCGTAAAATATCCTACCTAGGATTGGGATAAAAACAGAAGAACTTTGACATGCTCACCCACTGGCCATATAGCTAGAGAATATAAGATGTATACTCACTTCGAAGGGTGGTCTTTCACCAAATTGCATGCCATTAGATAGAGCTCAGTTGAATTACAAAGTTCCATGGCAGCGACCAAATGTACCAAGGTACACTTCGGATGAAAAGGATCTTTCTCAAGGAGTCTGTCAAATTAGATCAAATTAGCCACATTACTAGAATCATTCAAGCTCCATATTGCTCAAAATTTAGTATCAGCACTAATGTACAACTTACGCAGAGGTTAGTTCGAAACACTTCTGATATTCACAGCACTGATGGTAGTACTCAGCTTTACAGGCCAACAGATCAGTGTTGTTAGCCAGTGTACTGATCATAGATGAGCCAGAGACACTACCACTAGTTTCGTTCTCAAGCTTCTTGAACTTAGCTTCTACTGTGCTCTCTTTGTCATACTGGATACGAAAAACCAATAAGTACCAAGAAGCTAAAAAAAGATGCTTTAAAAAAAGATCAGCACGAAAATGTTACATATCAGTGCCACACAACTATTGAAACATATCGAATCAAACACTTTATAGCATAGAAACCTTTACCTTCTTTATCAAGCATGAATAGAAAGTAGAGAGCCATCCGTCTTCTGGACTAAATTGCAGTGCAGAAAGCAGATTTGCTTCTGAATTTTAAGAAAAGTAAAGTCTATGTTACCTTCTAGTCAAGTAAATGACTGCACCATGAAACAAAAAAAGGCTTCATATATTATAACTCACCTTCTTCAGATGTAAGCATATGACTTTCAACAAGGCATTCCAAAGCCTGAAAGGATAGATTACAGAAATCACACCCATGTAACAGTTTTCTGATTTCTAGAGGAGTCAGTTCAGATTTATACTACTATATACAGTAATGAAGAGAATTTATCCTCCCACATTAGCTCGGCAACTTTCCATAGTAACTAACAAATAACATGCAGAAAATGACTAAAGCGCTAGAGGTACCTCATAGCAGAGAGGATCAGCCTTGATAGCAGCTTTATACCTGCAGTCCCAACCGAATTAAAAAGATATGAAGTTCAAGATTCCCACACACCACTATATAGATGGGTTAGTAGAGATACACACAAGCTCCCAAAATTTCCTAAAAGCACTTTAGTGGATATTATACGCATGCTACACCACTAAATCAATAAAATCTCTCTCTCGCATTCATCAGAATGTAGATAACAAATAATCCACTGAACGAGAAAAATAGGTGAAAAAAGCTCCACTGACCATTGTCGAGCCTGAGAACGGTTTTGTAAGGCTCCGTATGCTTTTCCTCTTAGGAAGCATATCGCTGATGATATCTGCAAAAGACAATCCGCTATATCCGTTCAGGTACTTGCATAACCTCAAAAACTCGAATGGTATAGTGAAAACAGTATGGTGGTTGAACAGTTAATTCATTTCTAGCAAATTCACTAACTATGCTTCAAGAGTCGTATAGATAAATAATATTACACAGATGTAGAATGAAGTACTATACATTTTAAAAAGGGTTAAAAAACTTACATTGATCTCTCGGTCCTCTCCATCTTTATCAAAATGTATTACGTTGCCATCTTTAGCGTCATATACAGTACCATCTTCATCAACCTTGGCATCACCGAGCATCAAGAGACACTGATCCCATTCCTTCAATTCCTCCTGAGAACACACAAACATTTCCGATAAACCCTAAAAACCTTATCACCAAAAATCCCATTTAAGCTAAACCACCTGAAATTTCTAGACCCAGTCCACTTTAAACAATAGAGATAGACAGAAATTGGGAGGGGGGAAATTGAAATTACGAGGCACTTCGCGGCGAGGTAACGGAATCGAAGATCTCGGAGGACAATCTTAGAGGCGTTGAGAAGGTGAAATGCGCGACGGTAATGGCGACCCAGGAAGAGAGCTTGAGCCTGCATATATATGTCAGCTGGGTCATTGGTGAGAGCGGCGACTTTGTCGGCGAAGAATATGGCCGACGAGTACAAATGCTTACTGACGCAGTCTCGAACCACGCCACGGATCTTCTCAATTTCTTCTTCCCTCATAATATTCTCCGCCTCTCAATTCTTCCGGAAAATTTACGAAAACCGTCGGAAGAAAAGATCGTAACGACAAAAAGGGATGGGAAGATTATCGGATTTGTTTATCGGGAAATTTTGAGCTTACACTCTCTCTAGTCAGAAAAGTGTTTGCGCGAGGGAGGCGGGACGAAGGCAGAGGCTCGGCGGGAGAGAGTATATTTTTGTCGCCACACCACCCATTGCTTATGGGCTTGAGGCCCATTTATTATGAACTTTAGGGCCCATAAAATATTAGGCTTGACCAGGGAAATACTGCAGCTCAGCATCATTTATGGGTTTAAAGGCCCATTATCACAGTAATGTTCTCAGCTTGTGGGCTTTATTTTCCATTTCAACATTCTCTTTGACATTTGATTAAAAACGCTAAACACATATTTCTGTCGTTCGATTCTATGTGACGTTTGAAAGAATAGTTGTCTTAATCAAACTTCATTACTGCGAAGATGTACTGAATTCTTCACCATGGGAACGTTTTGTAAATGATTTTTACTCTATTCGATGCTTGCCACACACGGTACATGGAAGAAGACGCAGAGAAACATGTACGTTCTAAATGCTCGGGTGATATATTTAGAATTAAAAGTTTTTGTTCAATTTGTTTAATTCCGTGTTGTCCTCGTCAATTCTTTATCCCTAAGAAAAAGGTTCTAAGGATGTTTTATTGATGCTTGTTAGGCAGAGTTCATGGCGGAGAAAGGTGTGCAAGTTGATCTAGATAGGCTGAGCAACTTGCCAGATTGTTTGCTATGTCAGATTCTCTTGAACAATCTTACAAAAGATGTGGTGAAGTGTAGTGTGTTATCCAAGAGATGGAGAAATCTCTGGAGGTATGTACCCGGATTGGACTTGGGTTATGGTGATTTCGAAGGGCAAGACTCGTTCGTGAGTTTTGTCGAGAGCTTTCTGGGTTTTAACAGCGAATCATGCCTGCAAAAATTTGAGTTAAAGTACTATAATTTGATTCAAAGGTACGAATGGGAGTGGTATGGGTCTGATTTTCCTCGTGTCACTCAGTGGATCGACACTGTTATTAGGCGGAAAGTTCGACATCTCCATTTTCTGAAGAGTCCGTGTCGCGAGCAAGTGGAGATACCTAAAACAGTTTACACTTGTGAGAGAGCTTGGTCTCCTTAAAGCTCTGTGAAGTGATCTTGGTTGATCCCAAGTCCGTTTCTTTACCTTGTCTCAGAGTTCTGTATTTAGATGCGGTTACATTTGCGGACGATTGGCCTTTGGAAACGCTCATCTCAGGCTGCCCGATTCTCGAAAGATTAACTATACTGAGGGGTCCTGCTGACAATATAAAAGTCTTGCGCGTGTGCTCTCCGTCTCTATTGAGCTTCAGACTTTTCGGCAACCATGAGGAGGAGGACCTTGATGAAGATCTAGTGGTTGTAATTGATGCTCCCAGGCTAGAGAAGCTCAAGCTTTTTGATCCTAAAACTGATTGTTTCATAATAAACAGCATTGGTTCCCTTGTTAAGGCTGTTATCGATGTTACGTTCAACTTGTATCAGTTCGATCCGATTGATCTACCAAAGAGAAACATGATTCGTAGTTTTCTCCTCGCGATCTCTAGTGCCAGAGAGATGACCATCACTTCCTTCACTCTCGAGGTAACTTGTGCTTTAGTTTTTCGTGTATACATTTTATTCTTTTCTTGCAGGCTATCTATAATTACTCGAGATGTGAGCCATTACCCTTGTTCCGTAACCTATCTTCCTTGCGTGCAAACTTCTACAACTGCACGTGGGAAACGTTGCCAATCTTTCTTGAGAGCTGCCCGACTCTGAAATCTCTCTCCTTTGTTAGTATTCATTACCGAAACCATATATATAAACTCCTTCTTCTTCTTGTTTATTTGTTAATGCAAATGGTGAAAGTACCTCATCGTACTGAACTTGTTTCATTCTCTTGGTCATAACTTGCAGTCAATTAGAGACTTTGAGGAGCCTATTGGTATTTTACTTGGTCTTCCTAGTTTCCTACCAAGTCTCGAGTTTGTTGAGATAGTAAGCACAATGATAAACGCTGAGGAGCATATGAAACTAGTGAGTTACTTTCTGGAGAACTCAACAATCCTCAAGAAACTAGTGAGAGGGTGTGAAAGACTTGACATCCTCAAGAAACTCCTGTCCACTCCAAGGCTCTCTAGTTCATGCCAAGTTATCGTCCTCTGATCCTCATGATCGACAAAATTGGTGTATGAACATGCATGGTTTGTCTTTGCATACTTTAATAATGTGAACTCCTCTGTTTCTGTTTCGTTTGTTATGACTTGTGATTTTGATTTATCGTATCTTTGGCATTTTGTCAAGAACGCATGTAAACGCTTTTCTTATTTTGTCTTGCGGCTTGCTTTTATACCATTCCTAGTGTGCGACGTGCATTTAAATATGTTTTTAATAGAAGCCTCCTTTGGATGATTGAGAATGAATTTATATTCAAACAAGTCAAGTTTGCAAACTAAAATTCGCAGCTTGCATTTTATATTTATACAGATCAATCAAACTAGATAATTATAAACAAGGTTGTTGTAAGTTCGTAGCAATCAGAATTCTTTGTTGTTTTCTTGGTTTGCGATCATTTTGATGTCCCATAAATCGTTAGATCATATGTTTGGCTTAAATTTAGTGATCATTTATCTCGACTCAAAGAACTACCAACATAATATATGTTTAAATGAATCCACAATGAGCTCCTGGCTAATGGTCTCTCTATTTGCGTGGTAAGTGTTAAGTTTGATATATCAAGCATTTGGCATCTTCAAGCCCTAAATCCTCAGTGATATTCCTCCATATGAGAAATTAAAGACGAAATGCATGTAATTTCAAATCAAAATGCCTTCACTGACACTGCAAGACTGATAAATAAATTATCGAGGTATGTTGTTAACGTGCATGTTAGCATTATGTTTAAATTGAGTTTAAACGAATTATAGAAGAAATAAAAAAAAATGAAAACAGTAATTTAATATATAACAAATTGATTTCCTGGTCATTTCGATTTTATTTTCTGTTAGTCTGAAAATTGTTTCTTCTAATTATTGATGTTACTTTTCAATCTTCATAGGACGGACTTTAACGACTAATAATAGGTCTAGTTCTGAGTATCCATATAATCAATTTATATAATATAGAGATAACATAGCTTCAAACACAAGTTAAAGTTTTATCCCCCCAAAAAAAACAAAGAAAGAGGGACATAAATTTAAATCATGAGATTATTTTTCTGAAAAAAAAAAAGTTTACTAGTTTCTTTCACCTTAAAAAACAAAAAGTAATAACTAATTGTCATTGAGAAGAGCGGTATAGAGAAGCTGGTTCCATACATCGGGGACTCCAGGGAGGCACCAATGGCTACAGTCATTTAATTTACGGCCTCCACCGGCGTATATGGAAGGGTGACCATCCTTCCTCAGCTCCGCCATAGCCGTCACGTCAAGGAGGCTCGCCGGTTTAGCCATCCTTCCGATCACACCTCTCACTATATCCTCGCCTTCGTTGTTATTCTGTCCCGAGCTACTATTTCCCTCGACTGGTTCCGTCTCTCCCAAGCAAGTCTTCCCCGGTTTACCCCATTCAGTACCACTTCAGATTAACCAAAGAAAAAACAGAAAACACGGTCGGTCATTACATATGTCTAAATTACTGTATGATTACTAGAGAGAGAGAAAGAGATTAACTTTAAATGAACGGGAGAGACTCCTTGATAGAAAACCCTAGTTTTTGAAGGATCAATGTTGTGATCAACCCAATTAGCCCAAGTTGTCAGAGCAATCTTGAAAGCTTCCATTCTATTCATCTCTTCCTCTATCTTGTCGCCCACTTGGAAATACTTCCATCTACATACATCATCACGATTGGATTATATAATATAAGATCATGTAACTAATTTAGCACATTGAGATCGTTGATTATTATTTACATACGTCTTAGAACGACCAGCGTGAGTCCACCAGTGGAAAGTGTTGAAGATGACAACATCTGATCCCAACCATTGATTCCCGGTACTGATCGAATCTAGTTTCAGTATCATTCCTCTTGTTTTGTCCGCTACCAAATCCACCAGGAACCCATTTTTCAGGAAATTTACAGATATTCCATATTCCTAGATAAAGTATAATTAATTTCAGTTGACAATTCTCTTTATTATTAGTAAAATAAAATAATATTTGTTTTTGTTAACCGAAATGGTGAATTACGTACCGGAATGGTGAAGGTAGAGAGGAGCTTATCGAGCTGCAAGGTGTAATTAGCGTTGGGAACGGCCGCGTGGAGCATGCAACTCAGCGACAGCCACATATTGTTGCTTAGTGAATCTCCAACAAACAGTATTTTCTTCCCTTTGTACCTTGTTAAGAAATCTTGTCCGTCGAATCTGCCACATCATATTCACACAAATACATCTCAGCCGTTAAAAAATTAACCCATACAAACAGTTTAATTCTTGTCTGCTTTTGCGTTTTGAAGATCTGAACATTACAATTTTTAGTACACAAACATAGTTATCATGAAAACTATTAGATTATGAGATTTAATCCTAATATTTCTTATGTTATTAAATTTTCTGAAATTTAATGGAGTATGAATCAATAATTTCCATAAAATATTGATATGCTATTTGTCAGATTTGCTAATAATCATAATCATAAAAATCTAACAAGAATCTTATCAAGATAGGACCGTGTATTTCTGAACATCAAATGAGTGTGTGACATCTCCAAGATTACTTTCATACAACTTTAAATCTGAATTTCATCGTTATAACTTGTAAGTGAAAGTGAGTATATCACCTTGAGATGTCGCATCCGGTAGGCTGCCACCGATAATTGAGGTAATTCTTGTCCGGCCGACCAAATTTCTGGCAATCCAAACCCATGAACGGACAAGTCGATGTTCCATAAAGAGGGTTAGAAGAATTGTCATAAACCCAACTTCCTTCGTAAATGTTACACTTTGATGATGCCTTCTCCTTCTCCTTCTCATTATGATCTGATAAATTAACAAGAAAAACAAAAAGGACAGAGAGGAGCTGATGGAAACCCATTTTTTTTTGTTTTAATTCGAAGAGACGACGGATGTAGCATGATGTTTAAGGTTAGATTGTTGTATTTATACACGTACGCTCATGACTGTTGGGCTGTATCTACATAAACAGCTAAAATTTTATGATTTTTTTTGTTGTTAAAGGAAATATTTATGATTTTAAGAAAAGTATATAACGTTTTATTTGACTTTCTCTTTTCTTCTTTTGTCAATAGAAATGGCTATATAGAAAAAAAATATCTCGTGCAAATAAAAGAAATGAAAAAAAAACGATCAAACACTCGAGTATTCCAATTTTTAGATATGAAATCTACGCGAACTTTGCTTCTAGAGAAAGATCAGGTAAAATAGAACAAGTCTAATACTCTAATTACAAAATCAGGTAGAGTGAATTGTGAATACTATAATTCCTCAAGTCTGATATTATGATATTATATATATATATATATATATCACATTCACCTACTTTGTCAAGAAGTTGATAAAAAAAACATATATCAAACCTTTATATCAATATGCAAAGTCCGACTGCGAACATTATACCCCTAAAGCAATGTTTGCGACTTTGCGTTGTCAATGGTGGATTTATTTACTTATATCAACCCTTATATTACTGTTTTGCGACTTTGCGACTTTGGCGTTATTTGATTTAAGAGAAAATTACGCACAAAGTCTAAATGTTGAAAGTGAAGACAAAACATCTTGTTTAGGGAAACAACGATTAGTTTTGAGTTCACTGAATCGTTTTGACGTTCGCACTCCCTTCGAATATTTTTGCCTTCTTTAAGTATCACTTAATTATTCAAACACAATTACTATAGTTTCACCAATTCGGATTTGATGTCCATATAGAATTAAAGCGTCAATGAAGAAATTGTTGAAGTCTTGAAGATCATTCAGTTCAAGGAAGTTCCATGTGCGTAGAAAGAAGTTCTGAAGAGTTTTGTTGTGTCGAGAGCTCAAGCGGGATCCGAACGTCCGGTCATATTTGTTCACTTCTATGCACAGAGTCACAGAGATATAGCTTCTAAGTGAATTTATGCTTATTTTTTTTATGAAATGAAAATGACTCTTGATTTTTAATTTTAAATTTTCAAAAAGTACTACTACTCTAAGTAGAAAATATTTAGACTTGTTGTCAATTCAAAATATATATACACGTGGCAGAACGCTAATGGATAACAAGAGGTCATTTCTCAGTTATACGTACGTGACCTAAGCTTTGTTTGTCCCATACGATAATCAATTAAAGCTCATATGGATACACTTTCGTCATCCACCCTCCTCTGCGTACTACTACTACTACAAAAAAAAGACTCTGAAGAGGAAGAAAATCAAGCCTACGTCACTGTAGCCGTTATAAAACAGAGGCTCTCAGTGTCAGGCTGGGGCTTCCCTGTCACCTGCAACAACTCATTGTTGACTAATAACGTGAGTCTATGATGATGTCATGAAACAGTAACGTTTTTGATTTGCTTCCTTGACTTTGAGTTGTAACTGTTAACATAAACCGAAAAGATATACTACAAGAACATATAGAATCTGATTACAACCATCTAAACCGGGTTTTAGGTTAGCTAATTAACCGGGTGGGTTTGGGAAACAAAGAGGGGTTGAAAAAGGTAGTGACAGAGGTAAGGTACAATCACAAGGTTTACAAATAAACGAATATTTGAAGCTGTGTTTTCACTTTGATTGAGCCTTACATTGGGAAAAATAAAATCGAAGCAACATATTTTGAGAACGGTTTGGGTTGGACCCGTTTTTCAGAGTTTTTGAAAAAAATGTACAGGTCGCTGGAACTACCTGGTGCTTGAGTTTCCAAGAGTGAGTTCAAGATCATCCGAACCACTCTCCTCGTGTATCCTCTCTCCTTCCCATGCCTTCACTAACCCGTTTGTGTTACTCCCGAACGCAAACTCTGGAAGAGGAGCGACTACTGCTTCAGACATTGGAACATCTGCTGTCTGGTCAGCACCAGGAGGAATAGCCGGTGAGCAAGTCCCGCTTTGACCCGGCGTCCACATTCTTGACCCGCCTCCTCCTCCACCAGCAGAGGCTACTTCTTCTTTGAACCCGAATGGGTTTTGCGAGACGAGGCTAAACGTTGGTGAAGCTGGAACGCTCTGCGCGAGTTGAATCCCCGAGAACCATTCCGAGTCAGGGATGATCTGCCGCGTGGGACTGGGCGGTGTTGAGGAGACAAAGAAGGAGTTGTTGATTTGTTGCCAATCAGGGTTCATCCTCGGTGTACGAGCTGTTGGAGAGCTTAGAGGAGGGGTTACAGGAGCACTTATGGAGCCTCCAGGGATGTAGAGGTAGTTAGGGAGTCTTGACGATGAAGAAGCTGACGAGGACGATGTTGTCGAGAGGTGTTTTAGCCACGGGATGAGTGACTGGCCATCTCCAGAGGTGAGATTAGCGAAAGAAGAGGAAGCTGGGCTCATGAAGTTGGAGGAGCCTGGGCTTGGGTTGTAAGATGCGCACGGGCTCGGCTGATAAGAGGAGCAAGGGCTCGCCGTTGCTGAACCGCCACCTATCTCCATACGCTCTACAGGTCTACTACATCCCTGAAAAAAAAAAGACCAAGACAGAGATAATAGAGACTGTGTTAGTGATATTCTTAAAGTTTCGATTGTGTCAAATGTATAAACAACTGAAAGAGAGACAGTTAATTTTCACATAAACAAACTCTCTGTTTTTTATTTTTAAAACGATCGGGTCAAGATTCCTGAACCGACAGATTATCATTGGACTCGATTCTCGATATTTTGAGTATAGACTTGAGACAGTAAAGCAAAAGTGCCCACATGCTTTTCCAAAAAATCTACAGATCAAAACGTACACTTTGAAATCTGTGCAAGGACATTTTCTTTTTTATCAGTTTTCTAGAGATCTATGCTAATTTGCTTTTTCTCTTTTTATGTTTTAATGGGTATCATCTGAGAATAGACTAGACCTGGGGACGCTAGTGAACCAATCACACAACATGAGACAAAGAGAGAGAGAGATAGAGAATCTTCTTTTAGATGAACGCAAAATAAAAAAGTCACACAGAAAGAATCAAAACATTTGACTATTAACGCTCCTCTAACGCTAACCTACGCTGGTGGTATCAGGAACACGTTAGCAATCCAGTGACCGATCACTATGCTGCTAGATGCAACCAAGAATTTGATCTCTTCTTAAACAAAAACCGAACTTTTTTGGTATCTAAATTCAAAAATTAATGTTACCGAAGCTTAAAAGAACAAAAAAAGAAAAACAGAGGAGAGATCCGGGATCGAGAGACGAACCTTGCGGTAAGTAGTACCATCGGGTTCGACGATCCAACCGGCCTCGTTGCAGAGTGCTTTCAACACTTCGTTGTTGTCGCAGTGCTTCGGCAGCTCGTAGTTGCCGTACATTCTCAATCCGGTGAAGATCTTCGCTGCGATCGCTCTCCGCCGTCTCTCTCTCCTCTTGTTGTTCTCTCTTTCCCTCCAAGTCGGCATTCTCGTTCCCGACGTCATCACTCTCGTTTCTTCCTCTGCTTTTTTTTTCCCGGGAGATCAAAGAGACAATTCGCCAGCTAATTCAACCGGAAAGAAGTCTCTGAATCTTCGGTGAAGCACTCTTTTTTCAGATCTAATAGAACAAAAGGAGTCGAACTTGCGTGCACCAACCACCAGTTCTAAATCTCCGAGCAGCCTAGATTAGAGACGCAACTTGGCTTTGCCCTTCAATACAGATAATGCTCTCACCGGGAAATGATTAGACGGTGAGAATCCGGAGGAGAGAAAAATCGTGAAAACAGTTGCAGAAATTTGTTAGCTAAAGCTAAAAACTTCACTTTCTGAATTGAGTTAAAAAAAAAGTATTTTAAGCTGACGCAGATGATCAAAATGATCGGAAGATTAAGAAGGGGTAAATTTCTCAGTGATCGGCGGAAGAAAAAAACCGGGAATCGGAGAAGAGGATGAAGGAGGTTAAGCTAATCATGAACTCTCTCGTGCCAGAGAAGATGGGATTTTAATACGTTCGTTCATAGTGTGATGGCCAAAAGTAAAACAAATAGATTAGAGACTACCCAATTTACCCGCGATTTGACCCAATTATTACGAAATTGCCACTACATGAGGTCACGCTTGTCATCCGGGCCTAGCACGTGGGAGCATATATCTTTACCCGCGATTAGGCCGTAATTTACCAACTTGCCACAACATGTTTCCATTAACCACGTGCAAGAGCTGCCATTTACCCCTATAACGTGATCCGATTTACGAAAGTGCCACGATACCGTTTTTGCTGACCTTGGGAAGTTTCCTTTTTCACGTGATGGTGCGTCCCCGGCGTGACCCCGTAGGGCCCATTAACTGTTTTTTTTTTCTTTGCTTCATTCGCGTAGGCACCACTCGCCGCACCGGTGGCTCGATATAAGTCTCACGTGGCCGCCGCGTCTGTGTGCCACCCACGTTGTCTCTTATCAGAACCTTCTCTCTCTGTTCAAACTGGTCGTTTCAAAGCAGTTTCTGTCCAACATCAATGATTCTGCACAGAGACAGAACTTGCCAGATCATCGGCGTTACAGACAACACACAAATAACGGTCTTTTTCACATTATAAATTAAAAAGAAAATCACTTTGTTTATATAGATATACTGAGATTTCGAAGGTATTTGTCCCGAATATTTAAACATTTAAGTGTTTGTTGTTTTCTAGGGTGCATATTGGTTTCGACGAATCTCGAGTTCTTTTTTGAGGTCTTTTATATTCGATTCTAATTTATTAAGATGCGAGTTACTCATAGTCAAATGGTTACAATTTGTAGGATATTCTCAGCTTCACAAAATCAAAGAAAGCTGACAATGATTTAATTTGCAGATCTAAACCGGAACTTACAAAAAAATGTGAACCGGATTCTGTTCTGAAGTTTCCTGGCAGCAGAAGTCACAACCGCTTGGCTAATAGTCTCAATGTTTCCAATGAGGATTGAATCTTCTCGGAAAGAGCTGTGTAGAGGCATCTCTGAGCGGGTTCGTCTAGCTTTTGGCCAGCACAAGAGAGGATAGGCCATTTCGCTTCTTGAAGAGGAGCCGTTACAAGGCGGGAGGCCGAGACAGCGGTCTCAACCATCATGGGAACATCAAACTCAATTGGTTCACCAACCACGACTTGAAGGTTCTTGTTGCACAGAGGTACCGGTGGCCTTCTTCCGTTGAAGTAGTTCTCCGGCATCATCTAAGACGTCACAACAGTGCATGTGAGTGCCTTGGAATGAAAACATAATATTTTCAAAGAAAAATTCCGAATTTTGGAAACTGGTTGTATAGTTCAAACAATCTACTGAGTTAAGCAGGCTTAGGCGGAAATGTAAGAGTTAAAGACATGTTACCTCGTCAAAACCTCGGTGAACTATTGGCAAGACAATTGGGGTAACAGGACAACGAGCGATGAGGCTTGCGGTTCCCCATTTAAGTCGTCTTATAGGCACATCTTCTTGAAACACCTTGCCCTCTGGGAAGGTATGCAACTACTAGTCATGATTAAAACCAAAGGTTAGAGGTCAGAAAAAGGCCTGAAAGAGATCTCAGTATTTGTTCAAATGTGCAAGATAAATACCCAAGATCCATCTTTTAATCGCTGGAGAGCTTCATTCATGTGTTCTTGGTAGATTCCACCACCTCTAGTTATAGGTATACACTTGCCTGCTCAAAAGAAATCATTAACATTCATCTTGAAACATTTCGACTCAGGTCCAAATCAACGATTACAGTCTTTCATCTGAAAAGAAGCAACAGAAGAAAAGGTGACGTACCAGTGCGAAAGATGTAAGAGAAGATAGGGTTCTTGAAACATATGTCCTCTGCAGCAAGAACCCATCGAGCAAACTCTGGATCAAGGGAAAGAAGGCCCTTGAACCCTCCCCACATTACAGGATCATCCAAACTGATTACAACAAACACGAAAGAAAAAAAGGGAAATAGATCAACATCATAAGTAAAAGAGATTAATGACAACAAGAGAAGATCATGTTAACTTGTGAAGGTTCAATTTTAACTAACGTCGACATGTGATTACTAACAGTAATGAGAGGAGCCCCAGGTGGTCGCGACCGGACAAGATACATAAGAGTATCTGCATTGTGAACTGTGGTTTTGTTGCAAAGATTAGCAACTGCTCTTGCAAACGCACCAACAGCCATTATCACAGATTTCCTTGGAAAACCTCTCAAGTGATCAGATCTTGCTGCCCATTCCATTATCCTCCCCATTTATGCCTCTTCCCAAGTAATGCAAGCTTCCAAGTTTCCACCTTTTTACAGATCAGAACAGAAGCTTAGGAAATTGAAATTAAGAACTCTAAAAGCTACTTGCATACAGAGACACTTCTTTCTGAGGATGTGCAAACCGGAAAATTAGAATATCTAAGCCAAAAGTCGATGCAAAGATTCCATAACTAGGTTTCGTTTCATAAGCATCAGTCTCTAAACAGTAACACTGAACTATTAGGGTTTATCAACCTCTTTACTTAATTCCCTCTAAGAAGATCTACCTTAAGATCGAAACAAAAATTCCAAAAGGACACTTACGATTAGAAACGAGACCACGCGATTGATCGAACAGAGAAATCGAAGAAGCTTGCTTGGGAGGAATTCATCGCGAGAGAGAGAGAAATCGCAGTGTAATTCGAAGAAGAACAGTCGAATCTGGATGGTATGACTCGGTACGTGACATGAGATTTCCGGTTTTAGAGACGAACCGGGAATTTTCGCAACTCTGGAGTTTTCTATTGTCGGTTGGCGAAAGGAAGACAGGCATTTTGTTATCAGGCTACCAACTTGATTGGGCTTTTATTGAGCCCGTCAGATATATATATATATATTAACGTATAAGCCCATCATACATATTGGTAACTGAGGTCACAAATACAAGCCCTTTACATCATCAGAGTTACAAAAGATTCACAGATACTAGCAGAGTTGAAGAAAACATCGCTGGTTCAACCGAACAAACACAACAGGAGATGTTCTTAGAGAAGGGATCGTTGTTGTGTGAAAATGTAAACCTCGTCGTAACCTCTCCTGCAGAATCCACCATATTAGATAATCCAGATAATCGTTAAAGACATACAGAAGAAAAATACAAGAATAGAGAATTATGTAAAGATTGGCGTTACCCTTCGTATCCACAGTACGTAGGCTTGTAGTTATAGATGAGATTGCTCAGCACTTTCTCAGAAGATGGTCTGTTCAGTGACTTCCTAGCTTCACTGCACCACATTCAAACTCGATCCGTTAATATCAGCTACACACAAATTCACAGTATTCACGAGTGTTCTTTGTGCTATCCGTGAGAAACGATTACAATGTTAACTACTTTCCTAATGTAGCAACCGGAGTTGATGCACTCTGTTACCGATTCTCACAAAACATTGAATAGAGAAGTAACCTGACTAGATGGTTTGCAGCGAGCTGAGTCACTTGGATCGCGTCCTCAGAGTGTGGAATCCTGGATAATCCCCACTCAAATGCGTTTTTCTGCAGAGTATCGTATGGAGCTTTTTCTTTTATAAAAGCTGTACATCAATATACCATAAATCATAGGATAACGCAATGGACCACTGTGATAATTGAGCCTCGGCGTGAAATGAGAGACGTAAGTTTAACTACTGAGTATTATACCTCAGGATGCCACTGGAAGCCCGTCACTGGATACTTCTTTGATTGAACGGTTGAAACATAAGCCTGGAAATATATATATGTAAAGTAGATTCGTTTTATGAGGTGAGGCTCTAGATATCTTTCGATTTCAATGGTTTCCTTAGGAAACATAACAATACCTTGCCGTTGCCATCAGTGCATGTTGTGACAATATTAAAGAACTGAGACAGGGCAAGATTGCCTTCAAAGCTGCCTGGCGAGATACCAAACTGGAAAATAATGACATTTTCATTTCAGCAAAGCAGATAGAATGTGAATATGATAACTACTCAAGAACAATAACGCAGAATATGGCAAGAAAATTTGAGGTTGCTAGTTCTAACCTGATGATTCTGCATAACCAAACAGTCTGTACTGAGCTTTTTCAACAAATCTGGCGGAAATCTGCAAAATGAAACATTGCAATTAAAACATTGCTCAACTTGGGGGTTATTAGTACATATATACATCTTGAGAATTGATATATGCACCTTTGGAATACGGTTCCTTCGGTGTTAACATTTTCAACGAACTGGAGACTTGATGCAGAGTTCTTTGCATCAACCTTCTCAAGAATGTCCGTGTTCTGTTACAAAGGCAAGGATTGAAGATTTTGAATGGAGCATGCAGATATCATCAAACTGGACTACGCTCTATATAGTATATTCTAAGCTCGTAATCCATGAAAGGGATAGCTTAAAGCAAGAACAAAGTGTCACCTGACTTATGATCATGGTGAGGAGCTCGAATCCTAGGCAAATGGCATATACGGGAAAGTGCTCTCCGGCATCATTTCTTTCCAAAGCTTTCTGTGAGGACCATAGAGATACCAATAAGATCACTGTAATTCACACCGTTGCACCAATTCAAGCTTCTTGAATATCAGAAAAATGTTGAGCTTACATTGAAGATTTTCTTGACGATGTCGTAATACAATCCTTCTTTGGCCCAACCACCAGTGAATATCACACCGTTGACCAATTCAAGCTTCTGCAGAAATTGACCCAAAAATGATTTGGATTTCTAGAAATCCCAATTCTTACTCCAGGTCGAGGAGAGATTCGAGAATCAGCTGAGCTAAATTAGAGTAACCTGAAAGAGAAGCTCTTCGGGCTCGTTATAGATGAGCGGGATCACTCGTGCCCCACCCGCTTCAGCTAATTTCACATACGACGCCGCGATGAACGACACGTTTGTAGCATTGTTCAATCGCCCCGACGCGCCGTCGCCGGGATGGCTCAGAATCCCGATAACCGGCTTGTAGTTCAGGTTCGGATCCGGCGCGGAGCAAACGGAATAAAAAACACGTGAATCGTTAACTCCGGTTTGACTAGGAAGGAAAATCCCCGCAGGCGACTCGGTGGCCTTGGCCATTGCGATAATATCCTTACACACAGACAGTAACGGTAGTAACAAGACGTAACCCCACATCTCAGAGGAAGTGGATGTTCTGTGTCAAAAGAATTTGGAAATGAGAGAAGCGATTACCAATCGCTAAATTGAATTCTCCGTTTTACAATTTACGAAACCAATCGCCACCGTCCACGTGTCATGCTTTAATTGGAAAATAGGATATCTTATTGCTAGAAATACAATTACATTTTCCTTGGAAAGGATCCAATTCCACAGAGGAAAATCAAATCAACCAAACTAATGGAGTATACAGATAAAGAACACATGCACATATGCTTCACTTGAACATACACGAGAAGACGACGTTTTCTCTTAGAAACGGGAAACTCTTGGCTGTGTGAAAAGATAAACCTCGTCGTAGCCTCTCCTGCAAAATACAAAGAATCGTTAAACCATACATACACAACACAAGAAGAGATTTGTGTAAAGTTGCAATGGTCCGAGTGGATTTACCCTGCGTATCCGCAGTACGTAGGCTTGTAGTTGTAGATGAGGTTACTCAGCACTTTCTTAGATGCTGGTCTGTTCTTTGACTTCCTAGCTTCACTGGACCACGTTCAAACTCAATCCATGAGACACCAAATACATTATTTATACATTACCTAAGAGAGATCTGTCATTTTTGCATAAAACCTTGATTAGAGATCTTATTACCTGACTAGATAACTTGCAGCTTGCTGTGTCACCTGGATTGCGTCCTCAGAGTGTGGAATCTTAGATGATCCCCATTCAAATGCATTTTTCTACACAAGAGATTGTTTTATAAACACCAATAGATAGTTGAATGATACCAAAACAAACACAAAAGGATTTAGATACATAAGTTTAACTGGTCAGTCTATGTACCTCAGGATGCCACTGAAAGCCGGTTATTGGGTATCTCTTTGCTTGGACAGTTGAAACATATGTCTGCAAAGGAAAGACTATATATTAGATTTCTTCAGAGTAATTTCAGATTCTGGAATTTCGTAGATAGTAACATATTAATAATACCTTGCTGTTCCCATCCACGCAGGTTGTGACGATTTCAAAGAAACTAGACAGACCAGGATTGCCTTGAAACCTAGCTGGTGAGATACCAAACTGGTAAAGCAAGCACAGATTCAACGTTAAAAATTGTTTTCCTGAAATATAAAGAATGCGTTATAAATATGACTAACTATATTCCATATTCAGCAGAAAATGTTACTAACGTAGTGGTTCTGCATAACCAAACAGTCTGTACTGAGCTTTTTCAGCAACTCCGGAGGAAATCTGCAAATACGATACATTACAATTTGAAAACCAGAGGTATATTAATATATATACACCGATTAAAAAAACAAAAGTATCAGGAAAAGCTATGCACCTTCGGAATAAAGTTCCTTCGATATTAACATTTTCAACGAACTGGAGACTTGATGCACTATTTTCTGAATCAAATGTTTCCAGAATGTCTTTGTCCTGTTACAGAGAAAGGATTAAAAAGATTAATATAAAATAAAAATGAGCCCGCAGATCCCAAAAGTGAGCTATATAATGTACTGTAAGATCCATTTTCATTAAAAAAAAAAAACTGTCTTTTAAAGATCTATTTTCTTTACTGGTGTCGAAGATCAACAGAGTCTAGAGAAGTACTAAACTTTATATGGCTTGACAAATATGGAAGTTAATTGAGAAAAAGAGAGTTTCTAAGGCAGTAAAGAGTCACCTGACTAATGATCATTGACATAAGCTCGAAACCGAGGCAAATGCCATACACTGGAAAATGCTCTCCAACGTCATTTCTCTCTAAAGCTTTCTGTGAGAAGCATAACAATTAAACTGTTCATGAAACAAAACAGATACTATTATATATTAAGTGGTAAAGGATAAAAAAAAAACTTACCTTGAAAATTTTCTTGACAATGTCATAATACAATCCCTCTTTAGCCCAACCACCAGTAAATATCACACCGTTGACCAGTTCTAGCTTCTGCAGTTCCAGAACGTAATAAACATTCAAAAACTAATTATATTTGCGATTCCATATAGTATATCAATGACGAGGCAGATTTTCGAATAAAAGATAGAGAATGACCTTGAAAAGCAGTTCTTCAGGCTCGTTGTGTATAAGCGGGATGACACGTGCTCCACCAGCCTCAGCGAACTTCACATAGGAAGCTGCGATGTACGTGGAGCTCGTATCATTGCTCAAGCGACCCGACGCGCCATCGCCAGGGTGGCTCACGATCCCGATGACCGGCCTGTAGTTCAGGTTCGGATCCGGCGAGGAGCAAACAGGACTCGAAGAACGAAAGGAGCGTGAACCGGTTTGACTAGGGAGCAGAATCGACTCGGAAGCATTCGCCACACAGTTATCGTTCCAAACCAAGAGAAGGAACGGTACACAGAGACAGATGTATCTCCACATGTCTGTGTCTGAGTCTGCGGAAGAAGAACGGAATTGAGTGTTGAGAAAGAAAGAGGAGAGAGAGTGATCTGATGAGTAAGAAATACGATTTGCTTTTTTTCTTTATTTTTAAACTAAATCGTATATGATCTGATTCTTCAACGTGTTATGTCGTGACAAAAACAATACAATAAGAAAGAAACGTGCTTATTTAAATTTATATTATCTTTATCTTATATCACTGTCAAGACTGGGCCCCATTACTTATCTACTGGAGTATGAATGTATGATAGAGCGAGCGAGGTTGTTGGGAGTTGGATAGCCGTCGATTAACGAGCCGTTAGCAAGAAAATCTCATCAACGGCTCAAGAGTCTTTATCTGGTTTTGTATCAGGGACTTCACATTGGGCTTTCAGTGAGCCCAGTTCCAACATATGCCATTACAATCACGAGTGCCCGCGTTACCGTTATGTCGTACTAAACAAATAAACGAACTAAACACACACACACACATCCAAGGGAATTTCATACAGGGCGAGCGAAAACAATCGACTGAGATTAGAATTTACACAAAATAAGATTAAATCAATTGTTTCTCTTGAACAAACACGAGCACGACTTTTTTCTTAGAAACGGGATCTTGGTTGTGTGAAAATGTAAACCTCGTCGTAACCCCTCCTGCAAAATGATCCACAGAATCGTTAGAACATAACACAATTTTTTTTAAAAAAAAGCACAAAGAAGAATTTTGTAAGAGTAGCATTTATACCCTGCGTATCCACAGTAGGTAGGCTTGTAGTTGTATATGAGATTGCTCAGCACTTTCTCAGGAGATGGTCTGTTCAGTGACTTCCTAGCTTCACTGCACCACACTCAAATCGCAATTTCATGAGAAACCACCACATTTAATAGTTACGAGTGCAACAGATAAAGATGTTATTACCTGACTAAATAACTTGCAGCTTGCTGTGTCACCTGAATCGCATCCTCAGAGTGTGGGATTTCAGATGATCCCCATTCAAATGCATTTTTCTGCAGAGAATGTGTTGTCTAAGGATATTTCTCGAAATAAACAAAATAGATCACACTGATAATAATACCTCAGGATGCCATTGGAAGCCAGTTATTGGGTATCTCTTTGCTTTAACAGTTGAAACATATGTCTGCAAAGGAAAATATGTTTCAGAGCAAGGTTCAGATTCTGGAATTGGTAGAATCCTTATCATGGTTTTATAGTTTTTATACCTTGCTGTTTTCATCAACACAGGTTGTGAGAATTTCAAAGAAACTAGACAGAGCAGGATTTCCTCGAAAGTTTGCTGGTGTGATACCGTACTGAAGAAAATGATAACAATTCATATCAGCAAAAGCATAAAGGTAAGAACAATTGCCTAATCATAGAGAGGTAAACAAAAACGACCAAAACCAGATTTGATGGATGTTGAATTGCTCTCTTTGGAGAATGCATAATATGTTAAACTTTGACAACTATATTCCATATTCTGCAGAAAAATTAGAGAATGCATAATACTAACCTTGTGTTTCTGCATAACCAAACACTCTGTGCTGAGTTTTCTCAACAACTCTGGAGGAAACCTGCATATATGAAACATTACAATTATCATATATGGAATATTTTTGCAAAACTTGAGGTATTACTACTGGAAAAGCTACAAGTAGTACTGTATCATTGAAAAGCTATGCACCTTTGGAATAAAGTTCCTTGAATATTAACATTTTCAACGAACTGGAGACTTGAAGCATTATCTTCTGCATCAAATCTTTCAAGAATGTCTCTGTTCTGTTGCAGCGACAAAGGATCACAAGTTAAAGAATAGAGCCTGCAGTATCCAAAATCTGTAATATATAGTTGATAATTGACATAAGCTTCACCTGACTAATGATAATTGACATAAGCTCGAATCCGAGGCAAATGCCATATACTGGAAAATGCTCTCCACCATCATTTCTCTCCAGTGCTCTCTGTGAGCAACATATCGGGATTCTATTATAAAGAAAGGACGAAACAATGTTTCAGTTGACAAGAAACCAAACGATGATGACAACTTTACATTGAATATTTTTTGGACGACATCGAAATATTGATATTTTTTAGCCCAACCACCAGTGAATATCACACCGTTGACCAATTCAAGCTTCTGCAGATCCGAAATGTGATTCACCAAAAGACAACCTTTGGATTATGAATCAAATCCAATTCTATATTAAACTTTTGATATGAAGGATTTTCAGAAATCAGAAGGACCTGGAAGAGCACTTCTTCAGGCTCGTTGTAGATGAGAGGGATGACACGAGCACCACCTGCCTCGGCGAACTTCACATAAGAAGCCGAGATGTACGTCGAGCTCGTGTCGTTGGTCAGTCGACCCGACGCGCCATCGCCAGGGTGGCTCAGAATCCCGATGACCGGCCGGTAGTTCAGGCTCGGATCCGGCGAAGAGCAGACAGGACTCTGAGTAGGGAGGAAAATCGACTCGGAAGCCCTGGCCGCACCTAACAAGAGTAAAAATGGCAAACAAATGTAACTCCACATCTCGGAAGCAAGAAGAAGGAACAGTAGATGAAAGAGAGTGATGATTCTGAGCAAGAAATACGATTTAGCTTCTCTTTAAATAAACAATCTTCTTTCATCTGATTCTTCTTCCTACTGGCTTCAATCATTCAACTCCACGTCTACGCACACTCTTTTCGAAAACCAATCTACCTTCTTTCTGAATTATTATTATTATTATTATCTATTTATGTGAGAGAAACGTGTTGTATGTATTTTTTATTTAAAATCTTTAGACGATACCAAAATTAGCTCTCAGGTTTGTTGTTGACTCTGCATTTGTATTACTGTTCTAATGTCTTGAACATGCTAGAAGAAATTTACAAAAGCGTTGTATTATTAAAATGAATCTAGAAAATATGCCATTGACTGGGGAGAAAATATATCATTAAAATTATTAGTATATCTAATATACATTAAAGTAAAAACATTCCTGATCATTTTTGTTGATGTATCACCACCAGAATTTACTTTTCTTATATTTCCAGCAAAGAAATTTTCATTTCAGTACACTTCAAATACAAACTAGATTAGGTTTCAAATATCTAAAACAAAAATCTCACGGTTTTTTTTTAAAATCAATTCTTTGAAAAGAAGAGTACAAAAAAGCAAATCTTAATATAAACATCAATCTTAAAACGAGAAGAGAAAAAGATGATAGAAAACAAATTGATGAAGCAAAATACAAAAGCTGGATTTATATCGCACTATGCTAGACTCATCGATTGCTGAAGAGACTTCCCAACCTGGAAATATTGAGGACGGGCAATTGTATTGGAGACAAATGACTAGTTGTCCTTTCTCGATTTTGTAAGAAACTGGAGGTCTTGGTACTTCGTGATCGTTGTGTAGACGAATCATACGTGTTGCCCACAACTGCAAAGGCATTAAACACTTATTGTAGTCATGATGGAGGTGAGCAACAAATCTCTAGAAGCCATTGCTACAAACTTAGAGAATTTAGTAACTTCAGGCTGCGATTTATCCCATTTATCCCATTTATCCCACAGGGTTCGTCACCGCTGGATCAAAGAGCTATTAATCAACTGTGAGAAGCTAAGAATTAAACATTCCCTAGTTATAAGCATCAATCTTAGATTTTCATGTGAAGATGTTGTCTCATCTGATAATTTAGCTCTTGCAAGAGGTCTTACGAGTTTGAGAAGATTGGAACTAGACTACTGTGATCACACCGAGTGTGGACTTGCCTTGGCGGTTAGATCACTCTCAGGTACCTCCATGCTACATATTATAATAAAGACGCTATGAATAATTTACTTTTGATTACCTTTGACCAACGCCAGATAGAAATAGGAGGAGTAGATCTGGTTATTTACTATTCTCTTGATCTGACCTACGAGCTCAACTACCCGAATGGTATTTTTAGGTTTGATGGATGATAGTTTTTTTTTTCACTTTGAGATGATATGGCAAAATTTGGTCGGTCAACCTTTGTAAATGCGTTTTTTTTATTTATTTTTGGATCGAACCATCCAGTAACAATGGACATAAAGGTTTTTTTGTTTGTTTGTTTTGTTTTGGAATCTAATCAAAGACTGAAACACTCTAATTGGCTATTTTCGGTACGCAACAGTTGTGTGACTTATTTTTTTTCTTGTAACTTGTTGTGTAACTTATTGGTAAGTTTGAATTATAAAACTTAAGAACTTGGTTTGACTTAAAAAACAAAAAAAAACCACTTGGAAATCAGAGGTTAAATTGCATTAGCCTGATTGATAAATATTCATCAAAGAAAATTCAACTAATCAAAATTGGTCAATATGTGCATAGATCTGAAAACCGATTTCCCAGAGAAAACTGCATAGACTGAATTCGTAATTAATAGAGAAAACCCTTGATATGCATGTGAGTGAAGACTGAGAAACTGAGGAGTGAAGAAGACTAACAAATACTCTCATTAGTTAGCGAAAAGTTAAGAATCAAGGGAGTGTTTTGCTTATGAAATATCAGCCAGTCGATGAAAAAAACAATCACTTGACTCTCACAAAAGAGTCCTACAATTGACTCTCACAACAAATTATTGAAATAACTTAGTAATGATAGTTTAAAAAATAATATAGTAAATACAATTGTTTTACCCAACAATCTAAAACTAAATGAAGATGAAGCTAAAATCTCCACTCGACATTAGGGGTAGAATAAAGAAGGCGAGATGATGGTGAAATCCTAAGCATAGATTCCAACTCTTTTTAACACTCTTAAACATTGCAGGTTGATATAAGTGAGAGATCGATCTCCACTGTCTTTAAACAGTTTGAATTTGCAAGAATGTATGTCAGAAATTGTTTCTCATCTTCTTCTCCTCCATAGTTTTGCCACCTAAAAATCTCTAGCTGAGATTATAAATACTTTAACTAACAAATTAACAGTTATACAATTAGAAAGTACAAGTGGTCAGAACAGTCAGAAAGATACTTTAACGAACAAATTAACTGTTATACAAAACTCATTATAGATATATGGGCCTACAATAAATATGTAGGCCCATAATAAATATCTTTTGTCTTTTTTCTTTCTTATTTGATTATCTCTAATATGTGGGCCCACAATAAACTGCATCTTCATCTGGGCCCACAATATATATGTGGGATCAAAATTCAAACCTCATGTAGAAGTATCTAGTCAACCACTTAAAAAGGCTTCCAGATGTATTAAACTTATTTCGTGTATTAGTAAAGCATATTGTAATTTAGTTGAAGTTGTGTTTAGGCTAAATCATGTGTAACTCTCTTAATTTTTTCAACCAACGAAAATTATAGTGCCAACGGCACCGACTTAGGAAGAAGACTGCGCTTAATGATGCGCACATGAAACATTCTATAAGAAATTTACAAAAGAAAATTAAAATGAATCAAGAAGATCATACAATTGACTTGTAGTAAGAACTTCAACACATACAATCAGATGATCTGAATAGTTAACAAAAATTATCATTAACGGCTCAAGAGTTTCAAACATACAATCAGATGGGACTCAGTTCTAATTTCAGATATCCTCACTCAAAAACTTAATTAAAAAAAAAACACAATGCCTTTAAACTCTCTTGAAGAAGGACATTATGTTTCCTTGCTTAGGATCTTTGACGTTCCCGCCTTTCTTGCTTCCTGCTTTTCCTCCTGCGTTTGTGGCTGCCGCATTCCCCATGGCCGGGCTCTTCTTCTGCGCAACCGCCCTGGAACAAGGCACTCGCATGCTTTAACATTGTTTCCAACGGATAATCACAAAGGTTAAACAGTACATCATCTCCAAAAACATTATTACCTGTTAACAGCATTTGCGCTTTTGCCATCATTTAACTTCTTACTTGTATCATCACTGTCTTCTTTCTTCTTTGCGGTTTTTTCCGTCTCCTCCCAGACTACCTCAGTTACTATATGCAGTCAAAGGAAAATTGTATAAGTAAGAGACGTTGACATTCCAAGCCAGAGCTCGAATTTTCCCAACTCTTGGCTAAATAGATGCATAAAGTATACTTGTTTTTGATATTATTGCAAACGACGTTCGATGCTTAAGTGTGTGAGCATACCTTCTCTCCCACGATCATCAATCCGCGACTTCAACACTTTTTTCCTTTTCGGTGAACAAGGAGCATCAGTAATTCTTCCCTTTGAGGGATTCACTTCTGCTTCAGAACCACTGGCCTGGATCTTCTCCATTGACGAAGCCTTGGATTTCTCGTTCTTTCTGGCCCCAGAAGTATCAGCGGAGGCATTTTTTTGCGAGTCTTCTTCGCTGACCTCTGGTTCATCAGCTTTGATCTCTCGAGATACTCGTACATCAAGCTTCTCTGGACCTGAATCTTTGGTTTGTTCGCTATCTGGATTAATCTTCGGACTGCTAGGAGATGCTAAGCTGATAACATCTTCACACTCTTCATCGGAAAAATCAAATATCACTTTCCTTTTCCTGCTATCATTCTTAGGCGCTCTCTTGACATTCACATCCCGGGTCTCATCATCGCTGCCCCCCTTACTCTCGGCGTCGTGAGAAGGTTTCTGTGCTTCTGCACCAATTACAAAACTTTTCATAGAGGAACAAAACTAACAATAACAGCCACCAAGTAAAGCCATAGCCATTCCGCATAAAGGGAAACACTTTGAAAAGCAGAAACTGGAGTGAAGAGATTAGAAAGCAAACCTGAATGATCATGATTTTTGACCTCCACTGCTGCAGAACCATCTTCTGCTTTCACAGGCACACGGCCCCACATGTTTTTCAACGAGCCCCCAGCTCCAGCCACGCTCTTGTCGCCCTGTCCGTTCTTTTTATTACTAGTGGACACAGGAAGAGGCTTTTCTTTATCACTGGAGGATTTCACAGACTGGTTTTGAGCTGGAGCAGTAGTACTTTCACTTTTAGCCTGATGGCCAACCTTAGGGATCGAGGAATTTAAACCACTTTTAGATTGTACTGTAACATTTGCAGTGGCTCCCTCTATATCACGCTTTACAAAGCAATTGGAGATGCCACAAAACCTGATACAAAGAAAACATACATTTCTAATCTGAGTAGCTGAGGCCGAGTCAACAATACCGGACAGTTTTTTTCATGCAACAACACAGAGAAGGTGTACCTGTTGTCTCTCAAGCAATTATCAGTGGCAGAAGGCTGCTTGAAGAGTTCTTCTGCTTGTACAAACTCAGCGTTCCATATAGCAGCCGGATCCATTGGGATACTAGCTTGAACACTGTAGATATGAGTAAAATATGTTCCATTGAACTCTTTCTCCACTTCTGCATAGGAATCAATAACAGGGGAAGTGTCAAATCGATAGATTATCTGGTGTTTTATATTTTTACAGATCATTATTAGCTAATCAGACAGGTGAAAACCTAAAGGAGACAGTCATGAAAGATAAGAAAGTGACCTTGAAGTTTGGAACTGGAAACAAGCTTTGTGTGGTAATCGGAAGGTCTCTTCTTGAGCCACCCGGATACAGTATAGACAACTTCTAAACCCTTTTTCTCGTGCTTGTCGACAAAATCCTTAAGCAACCTAATAACAACAAGCGAATCACGGTTTTGAGATACAAACAGATTTGAAGAAGAAGACTAAAAATCTAGTGATTTCAAAATGGGTGGAATCAATGTAGTGTACCTCTTGGCAGTTTTTGATGAAAGCGAGAAATTTCGACTAAGCCATTTGTAAGATACCTGAAAACCAAATGGATTGAGAGAAATCATCAATCATTATAACCCAAATTACTCAGATTTGCTTTCAACACCTCCGAATCTCGGGACCCAATTAGTCAAAATACAACAGAAAACTACAGACGGAAGCTTTAGAATCAAGCAATTAACACCATTTCGATGCGGATTCAAGGAGAGACAAACGAGTTTTAAGAACCAGTGAAATGGAAATCGGAAACCCTAGTGAGAAAAGATAATGAATCGAGAAAATCGGTAGTTACCACTTGAAGCTGATCGGAGACAAGAGACTCGATCTCATCGAGGATGTTTAGGGTTTCAGTGTGTGTCATTTTTCCGACTTCTCTTAATTCTCTCTTGGGAGATTTTTCTTCCAGGCGATGGTGGCGGGCTTTCCCGCCAGTCCTTTCGCGGTGCTGCTGCTCTTAAAGAGAAGATAATTTTACGTTTAATTGCTATTTCGTTTTGTTTTGGGCCACATCCATTTAATTTGCTATTTATTATTTGCTCCTTTACCATTTTTACTTTTAACTGTTTTGGCCTGACTTTATCAAAGTGTATCAGTATTCCCCCAATTCTATGAAAATGCCTGGGTCTGCAGAAGGACGTTCCACTCACGTGGTCAGGCCGTGTTAGTTTGGGCCAAAAGGCCCAAAATAATCTAATCACGTTTTCCTAATTAGTAGTACTTATCACTAAATCCTCACTTGCTCTGTTTCACTATCCGTCTTTTCAATCTCGCAAGCAAAATTGATTCGACGAGAAACTCTCTCCAATGGCAAAGCGTGGAGCGAGAATGAGCGAAGAACCCCGCGAGACCCCTCAAGAAGATTGTTCTTTCATGCTGTCCGAAGAAACAGAGATGTCTATCTCCGACGATCCTACACCTCCGGCGAAGAAGATTCGTACAAACACGAGCCAACAACCGCGAGACACCACCAGTCGAGACTCTTCTCTCCTACCACCCAAGGAAACGGAGTTTCTTCCCTTCGGCGTTTCTATATCTCCGAAGAAGAAGAGTCAGAATATCATGAGGCAAGAACCGCGAGAGACGACTCAAGACTCTTCTCTCTTACCATCCACGGAAACAGAGGTTCGTTCCGTCGGCGTTTCTATATCTCTGGAGAAGAAGAGTCGGAAGATCATGATGCAAGAACCGCGAGAGACGACTCAAGACTCTCCTCTCTTACCTTCCAAGGAAACAGAGGTTCGTCCCTGTGGCGTTTCTATGTCGCCGGCGAAGAAGACTCAGAAGATCATGAGCCAACAACCGCGAAAGAACAATCGAGGCTCTTCTCTCTTACCATCCAAGGAAAATGGGTTTATTCTCTTCGGCGTTTCTATGGTTCCGGGGAAGAAGAGTCAGACGATCATGAGGCAAGAACCGCTAAAGATGTCTCTCTCCTCTGCTTCTCCGATGAGCACAGATGAAGACTTGACGAAGACGGCTGATTTCTTGGAAAAAGAAGAGGAGAAGCGATACGGAGTGTCGACGGAACTAACTCTTTCAATCACGGATCCATGGATCATCAAGAAGACACTGAACAAGAGCGATATACGTGGGCCCCTTTTTCTGAGCAACGCCGTCGTTGAGAGCCACATTCTAAACGCTCTCCCTGAAGATGACCAAAAGACCAAACTCGGACAAGGCAATGGAATGACGGTTACTGTGTACGACAACGACACGCACACTACGCACGAGATGCTTTTGGTGAGATCGGGAACGAACGAGGCCCATTATTGTCTGAAGAATAGCTGGACCACTGATTTTGTCAAGAGGAGAGGTTTGAAGATAGGAGACGAGATTGGTCTCTGCTGGGCTCGTTTGCATTCTCAGCTTCATTTTCGGGTGCTTTCTAGTGCAATCGCAGACGAAAAGCAGCCATTACTCAAGTAATCTCCGGGATAGCCATTGGTAGGAACGTTAATTTCCTTCTTAGCCTTTGGAGTAATGGCTGGGTTTTAGGCCTTAAGTATTAGAGTTTTCTTTTTAAGAACGTTTGTTACAGAGTGAACAGAGAAGTTTTTTTTTGGGTTAGATATTGGTGTTGCTTATGGTGTTTTGGTAGTCAAACTTGATGTGTTTTACACCGATTTTATTTCGTTATTTGGTTGCATATCATCTTTGATGTCTGAGGAAGATAGTTATCAGCAAGAACTGAATAAATGATAATTCACATTAGAAAGCTTTATAGCAGAGTTGACCCAAAAAAAGGCAAGCAATGGACACAAGAGCCCGTTCTGGTTTTGAGATGAAGAAACTTACAGAAAACCGATAAGAAAATTAAAAAAAAAACTCTCTGCGCTTGGTCGATGGTGCTGCTCTATTTTTGCAGCTGTATTCTCTTGTCCCTGATAGGCAGGTCAAGCGGCTTCTGCGCCTCGTGGGGATGCTCCGGGCCTTTGTACACCTTTAGGTGGTTGAATAGAGCTCTCCCAAGCTGCCACAAAACGGTCAGATCATGTTAAGAGTGAGTGTGATCTAGAACTCAAATCACGCCACAAGTGGTTTAATCCTGGAAAATATTCAAAGCTGAGACTGATAGAGAGCTAAGGAATCATATATCTAACCCGTCCCTTTGGAAGCATTCCACGAACAGCATGCTCAATGATTCTTTCTGGGATTCTCTGCTGCAACTGATCGAATGTTTCTACTGTCATACCACCAGGTCGTCCTGAATGCCTCCGGTACAGCTTCTGGTTCCTCTTCTTTCCAGATACTGCAACTTTCTCAGCGTTCACCTTTAACAAGAACCAGTCAAATGACAGAAAGCAAATCATAAGTTATGTGAACAAGAGCGAGCTCGTTCAATAAGTGACACAGGTTACAAACATTGCCTAAACATCTACCTAAAGGCTTGAATTTTCCTTGTGACTGTAAATTTCATTTAAAAATTAATCACATTTCAATAAGGAACTTATTTTATGGCTCCATCTAGACAATCAACTAAGTGAAGCATATCAAATTTCACATACCACAATCACAAAGGCTCCCATGTCGACACTGGGAGTGTATGAGGCAAGGTTCTTCCCACGGATGTGATTAGCAATTGTCGATGCCAATCTACCAAGGATTTTGTCAGTCGCATCGACCACAAACCAAGGCTTGTCCGTGTTCACATGGTCCGAAGCTTTCGGATACCATGTGGTGTTCCAAATGTCCTGCAAACCATAGAAAACTTTCGGTAAAACTAATCTAAAGTCTTATAACTTCAATAAAATTCTATTATCCAACCAAACATGAAGAAGTGAAAGCTCCCATTTACCGAAATAAGAAGAAAAAAATATCAATTTTCAAATCCATTTGAGTATTTGATGCACTAAACAAGCAGATACGCGACTTTATACATCTGCAGCCTGAATATGGAGTCAAAGGCAAAGTCCACTACCTAACTCAACTTTCAAATTCCCAGTATCATTCACAAAGTTCCGAAATTTCCAGCAGGTTACGAACAGTTTATTCAACATTTCATAAATATTTTAAGCACACAAGTTTCAGAGATATGAACAAAGAAAGCGTTGAAGCTAAAATAGAGAGAGAGGGAGAAAAAGAAAATATCTTTACAGGGCCATTTGCTTCTTCTTCGTCGAACATCCATCGCTGATTGGCCGGGACAAGGGAAGTAGTCGCCTGCTCCGCTTCGCACTTCACCTGCAATCCCCTTTTCGCGTTCCCATTAATGCCGACTCGTACAGACGGATTCGAGATAGCCGTTAGAGAGAGGCCTAAAAACGGAGACCTTCGGTCACTTCCGGAGGGTTTCACCGAAGAAGAAGGGAGTATAACCGTTGAAGATGAGCAGAGAAGCGCCATTTTCGTTCTCTCTTTTCTGGAAATCCTTCTGCGCTTCTCGGATAAGATTGGGTTGTTCAGTACATAATAGTGGTGTTATAACTGTAAATAAGCTTATTTCTAGGACTGGAAAGATATATATAACGGGTTGAGATCCGGTTTGTTAGGAGCTCCGGATCCACCCCAAAACGCTGATTTTCTTTTTCATTTTCCAATTTTTTTGTTTTCTGATCTCAGGTCTTCGAAAGCAAGCGAAGTGTCATGGCAACGATTTCGTCAACTCTACTATTAAATTCTAGATCAGTTTTACCTCCGAGATTCACGAAACTCTCGGGATTTTCTTCTCCCTCACCATTTCCTAGATCCTGCCGATTTAGACACCGTATTCTGGAATCCTTTCCCGACGGAACTCTTTCGCCGGGAAGCAGAGCCGGCGGTGCTATGGCGGCTACATCGGTGCACGGGGTAGTGACGGAGACGATGAAGCTTATCCAATCGGCTTCACCTACCTGGAAATCCGCAGTGGCTAACAATTTATTGATTTTTGTTCTCGGGTCACCGCTTCTTGTTACCGGATTGTCCGCTTCTGGGATCGCCGCTGCATTCTTGCTCGGTACTCTAACTTGGCGGGCTTATGGCTCTGCTGGTTTCCTCTTAGTCGCTGCTTACTTCGTCATAGTAAGTCCACTTGTTATGAACTTGACCTTAATTTGGTCCCTGAACTCTTAAAACGTAGGAATTAGCTAATGTGATTTTGATTTCGAGCAGACGAATGAAGAATGTCTGTGGATTTTAGATGAATTTAGTAGCTGTGTAATCGTTTAGTGTTGGAATTGTGGATGTGTAGAGATCCTGAGTCACGCTTGAACGTATAATTGAAGGGACTTTATAGGATTTGAAGATACTAAGAAAAATTTCTCTTGATTGATCTTAGAGTTGTTTCTTAATTTTGAAAATGCTGTGGGATATTTTGTTATTCCTGGAGGAAGAACTTTGTAATTAGGCAGTTTCTCGTCTCTGTACTCTGTAGACTGAAATCTGAGATTAAGGAGCTAGTTTGTCAAAATAGTGATAATTCGTCTCTATTCTGCAAGTTTTCTTTATAGTTTAGATTTCATTATCATGTTTTCACCGACGGAGAGCTGGAAAGAGTAATACTAAACTTGCAAATGATTCTGGCGTTGAAGTTGGTTTAGATGATTTACAATGTCGCAGGGAACAGCGGCAACGAAGGTTAAAATGTCGGAAAAGGAAGCACAAGGCGTGGCCGAGAAGAAAAAAGGTAGAAGAGGACCACGCAGTGTGATTGGTTCAAGTGCTGCTGGTTGTGTCTGTGCTTTTCTTTCAATATATCAAGTGGGAGGAGCAGCTTTTTCTCAGCTTTTCCGGCTTGGTTTCGTTTCCAGCTTCTGCACTAAAGTGTCCGACACCGTCTCGAGCGAGATAGGGAAAGCTTATGGAAAAACAACGTGAGTGTGCTTCTGTTATTCAGCTTTGACCTCTTCTGCAATGGTTTGTGTTACTTGAAACAAGTAGCTAAAACATTTGGGTCGGTTTTCTGGCAAAAGATTGTCAATGGACTTGCGATGCCATAGCATGAAGAATCTAATGAAATGATCTGCATTTACTAATTGGTGCAAATTTGCAGGTATTTAGCCACAACATTTAAGATTGTACCAAGAGGAACCGAGGGAGCTATGAGTGTTGAAGGAACATTGGCTGGACTTTTAGCATCATTTTTTCTAGCCTCTGTTGGCTGTTTCCTTGGTCAGGTACTAGACGTTATCTAATTTTGTTGTTGAGGAACATGAAAGCATCTGTGTGATTCCTGCGTCAGAAAATTCCCGTTCCACATCTTATTTATACTGATAAAGACGTCTTCATTACGTGATCTAAACTTTGAGTTGTTGTTAATTGGGCTGGTTCGTATGCACACCCCTCATGCAGCGACTTGTTTATCATAGTACCAAAGCTTAGACCGCTGGATGAAAGTGAAGATACCATAAATTTGACTGAACATAACTAAATTGCAGACGTAGTATAGACTTGCTCGTGAATATAAAGCTGGATACGTATATTTGTTTGTAATATTACCTGAATATGCATGACACTGTCTGATGTTCATAGGCAATTTACACACTGTATGTGTAATTGTAAGTTTATTTTCCTTCTGGTCTCTCGAGCACAGATAACTCCTCCAGAAGCAGCTGTATGTGTACTCGCTTCCCAGATTGCGAATCTTGGAGAAAGCATAATAGGTGCATCTTTTCAAGACAAAGAAGGATTCGAATGGGTATGCTCTCTTCGATTCTTGTTCGATTGCTCTCGCTCTGTCTACTTATTTGTCAATGCAGTAAAATGATAATCAGATGAAAATACCATCATGTTGTGGCAGCTATACTGATATATAAGCGGTTTGAGTGGAAAAAACAACATAAAACTTTTGGAGTTTTCGTCTCGTGAAACCATTTTTGCAATGAGCTTTTTGTTTCGTTTTGTCCATTCTCTCTATCTTTGCTGAGACCTTCTTATTTATATATTTGACCATATTGCTATTTTGTAGTTAAACAATGATGTAGTCAACGTGATCAACATAAGCTTGGGAAGCATCGTGGCGATTTTGATGCAGCAATTTATACTCCAGAACTGGGTTAAGTAAGGTTAGATTTTTTTACTTTACCTATTGATGATGTAAACAATCGTATTTATTCTATTATGTGTAAATACACTATGTTATGTAACATTAGTCCCACAAGAGTTAAAGGAAATAAACTTGTCTAACAACTAAAGGTAATGTGTCTTTGAATTTGATTCGCCACTGTCACAGTCAGTCACATAGTTCTCTTGTCTCAATAATTATTCTGCTTGGGATCCCTTCTCTTGATCACTTACAAATCTTTTACATGAAATCCAAACTCTATTGATACATATCTGAGGAATTCAAGAAAAAAAAGCAAATAAACTAATTACTGAAAATGTAACGAAAGAAAAAGCTGTAACAGAAAGACAACAACAATAAAGGAACAAGAGTAGGTTGACAAAAAGGAAGAAAAGAGTCGTAAACACATTCCATTTATTTGTCATATTCGATGTCATCTTTAACTTTTTTCATGTTGCCCATATTCTGTAGTCGACTGTGATGTTTACGTTACATAAAGATAATGTTTCTGGTGACCAATTTTTAAATTTAGAAGGCTCTAGAGAGAGAAAGCATAAGCATCGACTGTGATGTAGTGAGACTTGTAAGTAGGACCATTACTTTTAAGCGGTTTTTAGAAAAAACTATGCGTGGCTTTTACGAACCAGCCAGTGTGGTCCAGAACTAAGATACGACAATGGCCCATGGGCCGTGACATCCAATACACAGCTGACGAATCCCACGCGCCTTCTCAAACGCGTGAATTCTTCAAACTCGCTAAATGTTACACCGCCGCAAATCTCGCTTTTCGTTCGTCTTGTCAAATCTCCGACAGTCCGTCTCAGCTCAATAGTGTCCACACCCGTTTAGACTCGGTTCAGAAAGTTTATAACATAGACACGTTTTTAAATCGATTGCACATTGTCTTTTTTTGTGTTCAATGAGAATATCAGAAAAGTTATTCACACAATCTGGCTCCATTAATCGAAAGTTTGTAACTTTCTCGTTTGTCGCTTCCGAAACTTTTCGCCTAAAATTAAAATAACTACTCCTGCTTGTTAAACTATTAAATACATTATTCATAGTCGTGATTCATCATCATACATGTGACGAATGTACATTCTACAGTGACCTAACGATTAAGAAAATACCAAAAGTGGAAGTATTAGATTTTATAAATATTTCCCAGAATCAAATAAAATAAGCAATTGATATCACAAAAGGAAATGCTATTACTCTATATTTCATAATAAGTGTCATTTTGGAAAAATGTATTACATTAACTGAATGTATCTTGATATGTTTTTGATGTAAATAAAATAAAAATAATACATCCAGTTATAATGCAAATACATTTTCCTAAAATGATATTTATTATAAAATAGATGGAGTATTATTTTGGCAAAATTAAAACTAATCCAGAGAATTCGTTAGTTTACCTAAAGTTTGACGGGGGAAGAAAAAAAAAAGCCGAATCAGCCTGATTAAGTTCTTCTCGAACTTTGCAAAGTTTGGTATGCAAATCAAGAGAGAGAGAGAAGACGAGAAGGTCGTCCAAATTTCAAAATGATGATGAGATGTTGTTGTGTGGTAGCGATGGGCTAACACGCGTCATACCTTTATAAGATCAATTTAATATCCTTACTCTCTCTCTCTCTCTCAGAGTCCATCGCCAACTTTATTAGCAAGTCTCAAAACAAAAGCGTTTTCTCTACTGATTTTCACAGTTACCCAAAAGTGTTAAAGAGAAAACTTTCTTTCTTTATATTAATCGGTGGTGTGTACGCGAAACCCAAATTCGCTGGATCTTCTTCTCTTTTTTGTTCACCGGGTGAATCATGGCCGTTGATTCTGCTGACCGGCGGGAAGTCTTCGTTAAAATCGACGATGAGAAGGGGAGCAGCAATGGAGTCTCCGGAGAGACGGTGGGGAAGATTTGGAGAGACGGAAGTTACGATTTCTGGACTGATGGACAAGGTAACATCCATAAAGGGATTAATGTTGATAGATCCTCCGAGGCCGCGTCGGAGGAGGAGAAAGGTGATGACGAGCTTTTTGAGTTTCGACGCGGCGAGGATCCTCCCACGAAGCTTATTGGTCAGTTTCTGCATAAACAGCAAGCTTCCGGCGAGATTTCTCTTGATATGGACTTGGGCATGGACGAGCTTCAGTCCAGGGGTTTAACTCCGGTTTTGGAATCTCCGGCGTCGGCTAGAGTTTCTTCCGCTGGGGCTACCACCAAACCCGACGCCGTGGGAAGACGAGACAGCCGTAGCAACAAGAACGACGGCGCCGACGGAGAAGTCGTCAAGTGTAGTGGAAACGCTCCGAATCCGAAAAACTCTACTTTGCTTAAGATGCGAACCAGGTCACGGCTTTCGGATCCACCAACGCCAAAGCCGCCGCTGCCGCCGCAAGCGGCGGAGATGAAATCGGGTCGGATTCCGAAATCAGGGCAGCTGAAATCAGGGTTTTTCGGGAAAAGCCCTAGAAATCAAGGAGAGGAAGAGGAAGACGATCCATTTGCAGAAGAGGATTTACCAGAAGAGTACAGGAAAGACAAACTTAGTCTATGGATTGTAATGGAATGGTTGAGCTTGATTTTGATAATCGCTGCTTTGGTTTGCACACTTGCGATACCTTCCTTGCGTAAGAAGATAGTGTGGGAACTTCAGCTATGGAAATGGGAAACAATGGTTCTAGTGTTGATCTGTGGGAGGTTGGTCTCTAGCTGGATCGTGAAGATAGCCGTCTTCTTCATCGAGAGGAACTTCCTTCTGAGGAAAAGGGTTTTGTACTTCGTCTACGGCATCCGCAAGGCGGTGCAGAATTGCTTATGGCTAGGACTTGTTTTGCTCGCTTGGCACTTCTTGTTCGATGACAAAGTGGCTAAAGCAGCAAACACCAAGGCGCTTCGGGTTGTGACGAAGATCTTTGTGTGTATGTTGATTGGGTTCTTGCTGTGGCTCGTGAAGACACTGCTTGTCAAGGTTCTTGCTTCCTCGTTCCACATGAGCACTTACTTCGACAGGATCCAAGAGTCTTTGTTTACTCAGTACGTGATTGAGACGCTCTCTGGTCCTCCTTTGATTGAGATCCAAAGAAACGAGGAAGAAGAAGAGAGAATCAGCGTCGAGGTTAACAAGTTTCAGAATCCCGGTGGTGTCGAGATTAAGTCAGGGGCTCAGAAAAGTCCAGTGATGGTCGAGAAAAGCCCGTTGCTCTCTCGCGTTCTCTCTATTGGAAAAGGAGGAGGAGGAGGAGACAAGAAGGGGATTACGATCGATAGCCTTCACAAGCTGAATACTAAGAATGTTTCGGCGTGGAGAATGAAGAGGCTGATGAATATAATCCGGCATGGATCACTTACTACTTTAGATGAACAGCTACAAGATTCGAACATGGATGACGATAAAGGAAACCAAATCAGAAGTGAGTTTGAGGCAAAGCTCGCTGCAAGAAAGATCTTTCACAATGTCGCCAAGCCGGGATCAAAGTAAGTTTGATCAATCTCTTTGAATCTAAGGCCTTGTAACCATATCACATTATGGATACTAACCAGTAGCAATTTCACATGTTCTTATTCAGATTCATCTACTCGAAGGACCTTTCGCGGTTTCTGCCAGAAGACGAGGCTTTGAAGACTTTAAGTCTCTTTGAAGGAGCATCTGAGACGAATCGGATCAGCAAATCATCTCTTAAAAACTGGGTGGTAAGAAGTTTGGATGATGAATTTACATTCTTTAACGTATATTCCGGATAATAATGAACTTGTAAAAACATTTTGTCACAGGTGAATGCTTTCAGAGAGAGAAGAGCTCTTGCCTTGACCCTAAACGACACCAAGACAGCAGTGAACAGACTTCACAAGATGGTGAATATCGTAGTTGGGATCATCATAGTCATCATTTGGCTTATCATACTTGGAATCACTGATACCAAATTCCTCGTGGTCATGAGCTCGCAAGTCGTGGTCGTCGCGTTCATATTTGGAAACATGTGCAAGATAGTATTCGAATCCATCATCTACTTGTTTGTGATACACCCGTTTGATGTAGGCGATAGATGTGAAATCGACGGAGTCCAGGTAAATTAAGAAACCCGTAAATAAAAACCTTTTTCAGCTTTCGATATTGTAATGCTAAAAAGAACACTCTTCTTGTTTCTTTCTTTTTTCTCCAGATGGTTGTGGAAGAGATGAACATATTGACAACTGTGTTCTTGAGGTTTGATAACCAGAAAGTTGTGTACCCGAACAGTCTTCTGTGGACTAAATCCATTGGAAACTATTACCGTAGCCCCGACATGGGAGATGGAATCGAGTTCTCAATCCACATTGCTACACCAGCTGAGAAAATCATCCTCATCAAACAGAGAATCACAAGGTACATTGCAAATTTGGAATCATCACAATGTCACAAATATGTAATACCTGAATCCTTCTAATTAATATGTTTCATTGTGACAGTTACATTGAGGGAAAGAAGGATCATTGGTATCCAGCGCCGATGATAGTATTCAAAGACATGGAGTCATTAAACAGTGTGAGGATCGCGGTTTGGCCAACACATCGAATGAATCATCAAGACATGGGGGAGAAGTGGGCTCGAAGATCTCAGCTCGTTGAAGAGATTGCCAAGATTTGCAGAGACCTTGACATTGAGTATCGACTGTATCCTATTGACATCAATGTCCGAAGCATTCCTAATCCTACTGTTCTGCCTGTTTCCGACCGTCTTCCTCCTCATTGGACTGCTCCTGCTTCTGGCTGCAACTGAAACTTTTAGATGGCACCTTTCGTTGGATGAATAGGTTCTGTTTTTCTCAATTTTTGTTTTGTTTTCCACTCTGGGGGATTTAGAGTTTAGGAGATGATCTACTTGATGATTACTATGTAAATAGAAACTTCTTTTAATCCACTTTTCGGATTCTTCGGTTTAATGACACTGAATGAAAAGACCATGTTATACTATTAAGCCAAATTGATAGTTTAATCTCCTTACAAATCTTTAACAAAATAAACATCTCTTTCCAAACTTTCAGTCACAGAACAACTAAATTACACCAAATCATTTTTATGATATCACATCTATTATCAGACCGGCGAATGGTTTTCCTCAACCAGCCAAAAGACAGTTGCAGTAGTTAGAAACGTCGCCGCCGTTTCCCAATTCTCTGCTTAGGGGATGAACCGGTATAAGGAGTTGAAGAAGATATGTCCGGAACAAACACTGAGTGGTGCTGAAACTGTTTAGGCCAGTTTAGACCAGAAGCTGTTGGTGGGGAATGGATCTGTGGAACCGCCCATGATGCCTCACCTCCCAAGCAGATATTGTTATCTTCTCCATCTTCTTCTCCAGATCTCATCATCGAAGAACTATCTGAATCTCCTCGTCTACTAGTATCCGCCTGCAAACATAGATTTTTCATAATGAGAAGCCATAAAAGATGAATCAAAAGGCCAAATGATACATACTACTTATTTTCAGTTTCTTCCCAAGATATTTAGTTATACACACTGAGATGACTAAAGTGTTACCTTAGATGATCCGTTATTCTCCATGTATTCATAGCTCTGATCAAAGTCCGTTAACCCGAAAATCTCCTCTATCTGCCACTGAGGAATGCTTCCAGTAGCTGATCCGCTGCTAGCAAAAGGAAGCTTTGTCGAAATGTGGTCACTGACTTTAGTTTCCGGTAAAACCACCTGATGATGATGAGGATGATCAAAGGTTTGAGGCTCAGATGTAGGTACAGCAAATGGTTTTGTCTCCATGGTTTTGTCATCATTGGATGGTGATGACTTTGTAGAGGGACCAACGTCTGTAGATTCGAGACCGACTCTGATTCCAGTTAGAAGATATCGCTGGTGAGCTGAAACATGAGGATTCACGGTATGGATCGCAACATCACACTTCCTACATAGCAACGCTCTGTCTTGCAGACAGAAGAAGAATCCAGAAGCTTCCTGTCAAATTCCCAAACTTTTTTTTTTAAAAAGAGAACATATTTAAGGGAATAGCAAACAAACACAGTACCAAGATCATTTTTTTTCTTCAATCAAGATGTACAGTATCTTATACCAATAGATTCCAAATAACAAAGAAACTGGTTTATGGTTTATGGCCTCTCTAAATCTAAAAGGTTCAAGCTTTCCATAAGAAAAAGCCAAAAAATCGTACAATCGTACAAAAACAGTACAAGGTTTCTCCAATCAAGGAATGCCATAAACTCCAAAAAAAACCTAAGAAACTGGTTTATGTCAAAGCTAATAGAGTCACAATCTCTCATACCTAAAAAAAGATTCAAACTTTTCATAGTATAACAAAACTCAAAAATCGAGAGTTTAAAACATGGTAGTTTTTAATAAGAACATACAGAGGAAATCAAGAGATCGGACCTGGCAAATGTCGCATTTGGGTATGGAAGAGGAAGAGACAGAGAGAGGGACTCTCTGGTGTTTTCCGGCGAGTTTATTAGCGGCGTGAATTTTCTCATCACACGCCCAACACAACGCAGCCTCGTCGGCGCAGCATAAGACCGCCGCTTCCGCCGCCTCGCAAACGTTACACTGAATCTTCATCTCGTCTCTGATCTCTTAACACTTTCTTGATCTCCAATTCATCCAAAAAACAAAATTTTTGACAAGATCCAAATCTCGAGAAAACAAAACTTATCCTTTTTGAGAAAAATAAGAAAAAAACGAAAATTCGCTTATGGGTTAGTATCGGAGATTGTTGATAAATTTTGGGGGTAGAGAAGTGGAGCCACTTGTCTCCTCAAGGCTTTGAGGTTTATGGTTTTAGCAACTTTTACGTTTTTTCCTTTTGTCTGAGGGAGAATTTTTTGATTTTTCTTTCGTGTCAAAATGAATTTATTTATAACTTTCTGACTAATAAACAAATTTAATTCGTACATTTGGATTCTAAGATAAGTCGCTGTAAGGAAAAATATCAGATAAATTAATAAAATAATAAAATAGTGGCGGTAGGAAGATTTCTTTTCAAATGGGGGGGGGGTCTCTATGAACAATTTAGAAATAGTGGGGTCGAATAGGAAATAGTGGGGATATTTTTAAGACTGATGAGTGAACATCGGAAAGCCACGTGGCAGCCTACACACACAAGTGTCCGAATTGCAGGAGACCATCTCTGCTGTGTCGAGCTGTAATATTTCATCAACAAAATCCTCGAGGCTGCGCGCGTGGAGTCACGCGCAACCAGTAACCTCATCTCTCCATCACTTGATTTTCTTCTCTCTTCTTCAAACTCATGCTGAAAATATCTTTCTTTGTTTCAAAATGGTGACAGAGAAAATGTAATTTAACCCCAGAAATGGGGCATGCATATGCAAATTAGGCGTTACTTACAGAAGAGATTATATCATTACAATTTTTTTAGTGTAATAATTTCAGAATCTATCGCCCTATTTTCATGAACAAAACAAATTCAAATTATGAGATGATAGTGACATATCTGCTATACGGAGAATAAAAATCTACTTCATTTTGACCACTTTTTATTATTTTCCAAAATTTGTCCCGGTTCATGCATTGGTACATGATATAATGATAGCGAAATGCTTTATAGAAAAAAATCTCCCATTATATATCATCAAGATTACATTAATCCACGTATGAGTTACGGATGATTCGGACCTACATCAGACAAGATCTTTTGTTTTCAATAACACAAGCCAATGAAGCCATTAACAAGTTAATTAACAGACAGAGCATTAATCAATCAATCATGTTTAAGGTCCCATTTTGAAAAAAGATATTTCCCAAAATTAACAATTTGCACGGGAAAGAGAGAATTCTAGATGATTACGATATTATTTTCTTAGAATATATATTTCATTCGAGAGGATCATATACATCCACGTTCTTGGTTCAAGAAAGATAGCTACTTCAATTAAACTTCTTCAAGCACCAAAAGATTCAATAATCAACGAATCTTTCGGACCAAAGAATCTTACCGTATCTATAGACAAGTGAGTCTGAAAAGTGAAGAGAGTGTCAATGTACCAACTCTAACTTTATGAACAAATCTAGTACCTTGATCTGATCTGAGCAAAGCCCTGAGACAAGAAAACGTTTAAGACCGGCGCATCAGATGATATCTCGATCGTATCACCGAGCTGCACGTTGTAGCGAACCTGACAACCGTCGACGTAGATAGTTCCATGGTCTGAATACCAGTTAACATCCATGGATTGGTTCGGTTTGAACGCTGAATGCATAAGAGTAGCGGTTGAACCGGGAGAGATTGGCTCTCTGACCATAAACTGTAGATCACGAGACAACATTGGCATCACGAACCCACCTGCTGACAGCATCGCTGCAGTTGAGCCAGCAGCTGTGCAGACTCTTAAACCGCTCGAGCGGCAGTTCACTGTCTTTGGACGGGTCTCGCCAGCTTTGTTCTTAATCCTGCGCACGTTGTAAATAACATTGGTTCAAAAGTGTTGGATAATACAGGTGTTTTAACCAAACAGAAGAAACGATTAACCAATTCGGTTTTGTTTTTCAATATCCGAACAAATTGTACCTGTAAAGTGAAACCAATAAGAACTTCATTTCTTTAAAAACCATTCAAATTAAAGATATAATTACAACTAACTAACTAAGAAGTCGAATCTGAACCAAAACCAAATGATATCCTTTAGGTTTTCTATTAATCACAAACTGAAAAATCTTAACGCAAAAGGCACACACCAAGTTGATCTATTTCCCTAAAACAACTCTATCTAAATGAATCAGCGAGGAGTAATGTCTACACAAAACAATCACTAAAATATCTCTACTTTTTTATTCTGAAGAACTCTTACTTGAAGGAGAACCTTGAAACCGCAGCAGGGCATGGGTGTGCGATCAAAATGTCATTAAGTGCGTGTGAAAGAAGAGGTTCTGAATTTAACTTCAGTGATATTCTCGATACTTTCGAAGGAACTACTCTGCCAAACAAAATGTCATCCAGTACCTGTGAACAAATAGCTGAATGTTCAAAACAAAGTTGCATAGGCATTGAATGTTCTCAGGGTCAAATGATACCAGTAACACAACCACATATGGGCTGCCAAAGTTTTTCCCATTCTATTCCTCTATAAAACTTACCTGTTCAAAATTATCAACTGTTGCGGCACAAAGATGACCAGTGCTTCTACTAGCGTCAAACTGATCGCTGAGTTGTTCCACCTATAGTTACAAGAAAACACTTTGCGTCTTTCCACATTCTTTAGTAAAAGCTAATTCCTAATCAGATATTATGAGAAAAGTCAGGCTACGAAACCTCGTGAGCTTGTGTTGGATCAGAGTTGACTCCTAGAACCGGAACGGAATCGTCGATGAAATGACTGGCGTGCAAGAGGGTGCCATCTCCACCAACGGTGATGACCATATCAACATCATGAATGGGATGAGATAAGTCGTTACGTGAAATGGGTTTCCACTCGACTGGCTTCTTACTTAGTATTTCCTGACAAAAGTTTATCGCATTCCTGTGTACTTTGCACCTGCTTTCTAGATATTGAAGTACCTAAAACAAACAAACCAAAACAGAGTCAACAATGTAAGAAGCCATGAGAAGCAAACTAGAACAATAACAGGGATAAGTTACTAATTTGCACACATTTGATTATACACTGCAGATACAAGTTTCAAATTTCGAATTCCCAATGTATTGGTAAGCTTTTGTGCAAATGATAATAGACTAAAAACGTCCGCATTTAACACAGTGAAATTGCTGCCCATCTAATCTTCTTCACCGTTATCTTCATAACTGACATACCGCGCCATTAAAAGAGGAGCTCAATACTCACAAAAAAAGGAAAACTTTTTCCAACACAAACAAGAAGGACGGTTTGTATTTTATATAAACGCGGTAACACCAAAAAAAAAAAGAGTTCATTTTCACGAAAATGTCAATGTATCGGTCTTAGGAATTTTGTCGAACATCTTCAATACGAAACATAATAGGCGTGATCCGGCTGTAAAATTTTCAAAATCGAGATGAGACGCAGTGAGGATAGGAATACCTTGGGGTTTTTGATGAGCGACACGCCTTCTGTTTGAAGAAATGGGTACGGATCAATCGGTTTCAATAGAAGCAGAAGCTTTCTGATCGCCATTCTCCCTCAATTAATCTCTCTCCCTCTGTATGAATATAACTGTTCCAATGTCGCTTTCCTCTCTTCGTCCCTCTTTGTCTCTCTATTCCTCGGCGCGCCCACCGGAGGAGCAAACGACGTCTGAAGATATTCGAGCGACCTCCATAGACCCTCTGACTGCTGAAGAGGGTCTCTGCTTGTGAACAAGTATCAAAAGTTTTGGGCCTAACTAGTATCCTACCAAGCTGGACTAGCTACAAAATCGGCCCAACTAAAATGGGCTAGTTGATGAAATACGGGTATTCGTTAAAAATAGTTTCTTTCGATTGTTAAAATACCCGTACCGTGTCCAGTCCTAACCGGTACTAATAGGATCTTAACCCGGTCCCAACGTCTCGCCTCTCAGGGACAACCTTTAGTAGGATCAGATCCTCCGAATCGAGTGGCAGTCCTTTAAAGATTGTCCGGTCTAGAATCTGATCTTTAAGTGGGGTTAGTTTTGCGATCGTACCGGACCGGTTAGGCTCCACGTGTTTTTTTTTTATAATGGTGGTACCGCCTATGCTAGTGGCCAACCGAACCTACTGAATATTGACCTCGAAATATCCGAATTCACGTGATTGTCTCTGATTTGGCCAAATTTAGTAAGCTACTGTACGAGATCTCTAATTGAACAACCTAAGACATATCTTGTAGATTGTCCAAATATATTGTGTTTTTTTTAACATATATGATTTGAATGGGACAAAAGTAAATAATGTTTTAAGATAAGAAAACCACCAAACATAATACAGACAAATTATTGTGGATTGTACAATATTTATAACACATGATATTCTCTAAGAAACAAAAAAGAAAAGTAATTTGTATGGCTTTATGTATATTATTATTTAATTAGCAGTTATCGAATTTTACTATAATCGTTATAACAGGAACCTAAACACTCGATGTAATTAGCACTAATATTATCACATATTCTTCTTCAGTGGAGGATCCTTTTTACCGAGTGTACTGGTAAAAAAAGCAGTAGTTAGAGACTAAATCATTAAAAATCTAAAGGAGAAATTTGAAATATTTTACTATTCTATAGACTTACTACTTAAGCTTGGGTGGTGCATGTGCCCTCATAGTCTTACATCCGCCACTGATCATACTGATGGAATATGTGCAATTTATAAATTACTTTGTCTTATATATACTGTATGTATACAAATAAAAATAAACATTTCTATAAATGTTAGATGTGATAAGATTCGACACACCAAATATGATACAAGCCAAGAGAATTTGGCTTTACCGAATTTGTGATAAAAATGGAAAATCCGAATTATTCGCCAAACCACTCGGTAAATAACTAAATATGTTCTCTCTTTCTATTAAATGACGAAACTATCTTTGTTTACATGCTGTGCTCAAGCGTTTTAGACTAGATGATTAGGCAACCCTATATAAGAATCTCAAATCAAATTATATTGATTAATTCGTAGTGCTTATGAATGATCTGTCCGATAAATCTTCAGAAGCTGGCAAGCAATATCAACTTTTTTGTTTTTGTTAGAAAAGGAGGCAAAAAAAAAAAGGTTGTAAGAACTAGAGTAATAATTTAAAGCTAACACTACGTGCATGGAAAGATCAAACTACAAAATAGTGACCATTCCCTAATCTTTATCTTTTTAGCGCGTGTGGTACAATCTCCCCAGCGATTGGTCATCGTGTTTCAGTTTGGATTTATGAAATCAAAGCAATTTTGTACTAATCACATATTTTGGAATAGGCTCAAGAAGTGGACTATAGAAAATTATAAATTCAAGAACTTATAACAAAGTGATATAAATCCAAACCAAATCCAATTCACTCATATTAAAGAAAATATATATCCTATAATAATAACTTCGGTTAAAGTAGTTGCAGAAGCTCTTGCAAGCTTCATTTTACCAGCTTTTTCGAATTCGAATGTTTTCTTTATTATTCCCTTGTTGGGAACGGATCTTAACCAGTTTGTAAGTTTTCAAAACCTTGTTATTCTTTCTTTTTTTCATTTATATTTATTTTTTCAGTTATTCTCCAATCTGTAATGTAATACAGTTGGTTCTAGTTGTTAGTAGTGTTTCAAGTTTTAGTTCATCGTTGTATGGATTTTAAGTTTAGTTGAATAAAAAAAAATTGACCAGAAAAAAAAGAGAGTAGTGCTTAATTACATTTCTAAAAAATATCAAGAGTACAAAAGAAAACACAATTTAGTGCACTGACTACGGCGAAACCACTGGTCAATGGTTGTTTCTTAACTCTCTCAACTTTATAAAACAGTAGACTTAAAGCAATAAAAATTGTCGATGACAACAACAACAACATACAAGGGTTGATTAAGAAAAGCAAATAAAAAAGTTTAGCAAAAAGTGATCCATCATGCGACCACGAGAATCATCTCTAGTTTATTACATTTCCTAACGTCGAATCTACGGGGAAAATTTTATAAGCACTTTACAAGTTGCAGCCTTTGTAAAATATTCGATAAATATTATTGTAGATTATTTTAATTGACGATCCAAATCTCAATCCTCTATTCCTCTGAAATGGAATTTCGTCTGGACTGTGTACTGCACACACACGTTGACGCAAGTCACGCAATCAGGTTTTATATATAAATTAAACGAATATATAAAGAGAACCGTATGTAAGATAATAATAACGTTATAATAACACCAACAGCTATAAAAAATAGTCAAAGATTAGTGGATTATGCGATGAGTCAGATGATACCCATCAAGAAAAAGTTATACGCTGACGTAAAGGTCCTCGTCGTGGTCTCTCATGCTGCCAATCAACTTATTCGATTTAATTATATTAATTTTCCATTTGATTAAGCGTTTGGACCATAAGAAAGGGTAATAATAATTTGCTTACATTTGAAATTTTGAGTTTGCTTTTTAGTTATTTTGGGATGTTGAAAGCTTTTTGCGTACGTACAATTCTATATCATAGATTATTGTCCGTTTTAAATATTTTTGGATTCAAACCAGATTGAGATTATATTTGTGGCTGCTCCACAATGTCGAGTCGAAAATGTTTTTCTTCAACCATAAATATTAAGTAATATTAATTTTGTAGCATTTGAAAGCTCTATCTCTACTAAATAAATTAACTTTGGAAGGATTTTACCAATGGATATTTTATATGTTATGAACCAAAAAAAATAAAATCATCCATTCAAAATAAACATAAAATTTAACTATCAGCATAATGCATTACATACATAATTTATAAAGTTAAGATTCACCGGTAAATGATCAAATTCTATCAATTATGGGTTTGGTTTTTTTCTTGACCACTGTAGATATTTTAAGTGGTGGTCTATGAATTATTCTGGTTGTTACTCTTCTTCATAATGCGCTTTTCTTTTTGTGAAATTATATTTTAGATTGACAACTAAAAACCAGAAGTCTACATACTATAAGTAAGTAATTATATTATGTTTTTTTTTCTTGTAATATGTTTTTAGTTTTCAATAGTGAAACATCCACCGGTAAATAATACTCCCTCTGTTTCAAAATAAGTATCGTTTTAGAGTTTTATTTTTGTTTCACAAAAAGTGTCGTTTTGTATTTCTAATGCAATTTTTTAAACAAAAATCATTTTTTAACCTTGTTATATTAATGTATTGATTATAAAGAGAATGTTATTTTGTGTGTGAACAAAAGGTAAAACAGAACTTTTAAAACTTTTCTTAATTTGTGTGAAAAATGTCAAAATGACACTTATTTTGAAACAGAGGGAATAATATTATTTTTGATTGATAACTTATATGAAATGATATGAGTTTTGCTTTCAGAATATATACAACTTTGACACAGAAACTAAAACAAATTATATTATTTAGGGGATGTAGCCAGCAATATTAATAATTAAGATTTGATATCCTTACTTTTGGCTGTGGGTGGGAGAAGTAGTCCTTATATACATACATACATCTTTTTTGGTTATCTTTAGGTTGAGGAATTGGAAAAAAAGAAAAATTAAAAAAAAAGGGATTTAAAAGGTGAAAAAGAGGGAACAAATTCCCTCCAAATGATTGGGCCATAAACCAGAGAAGGCTGCTGCTCTCTTGCTTCCTCCTCCCTTCACATCTCTCTCTCTCTCTCTCTCAAAAACCCTTCACACTCTCTCCATCGATCTCTGAATTGCTCGTCTCTCGATCGCTTTCGTCGCTCGCAACAGCTTTAGTTTTGTTGCTTTCTCTCCGGCGGCTCCATCGTTCGTCGATCTAGGTTAGTCTCATCTCATTGCAAGCCGTTTTGATTCCCATAGATCCGTCGGTTATTTTTTTTTAATTTGCTTAAACCCTAATTAAGAGTCGTCGTTTTGTCTTCCCTTATCATCATCGTGTTCACTTTAATCGCGATGATTATGTTTCGTGGTTAATATAACTTTGTGATCGTCGATTGATTTCGCCTGATCGGTGATCTCGCTTCCGATTCGGATTTCATATCCTTCGTTTCTGGGGTTCTAGCAGAAATTGATTTTGTTTGATCTCTCTCGTCTCTGATTCCGAGAATTTTAGCTGTAATTAGATATTATTGCTCTGTTTGCATCATATATGAGTGAACTCAAAACGAAGCAGAAGCGAAAATCATAAGTTACTCTTTTAAGAAGATATTCCAAAAAACTTATGATGTAAAGTATTTGGGTCCTACATATTCACCCCATTGAAACATAGAGATTATATACTCATATATATAATTAGTTTATTACTAAGAAAGTTCTTGTACCATGTAACAACAAACATATATAGTGACAAACAATTTCAAATAAATTAGATAAGAAGATTGACCCGTGTGGGTGTCTCGTTTTCTTCAAGATCCGATAAGAAAACTAATGATGATGATGATCTGTTCTCATCTCACCTATGATTATATATTTTCTTGTTCTTAAAGAAGGAAAACATTATACTAAAAACTGAATTTGCAATACTTAATAGCGGATCATGCATTTAGAGGGAAACGATGATGATCTTTTAAAGTCGATAAATGGTCGATCTTTTTTCAAAGGGATATTTATATTTTTCTCAATTTTAGAAGATCTTGGTGGGGTCCTCGTGATTGTGGATGCCGTGCCTACTTGAATGAGTCACTGCTTTATGACTGCAGTCTTCACGGGAAAAAGCAATCTTA